TACGGTCTTGTGAGGAGATGTATATTTGTATAAAAAGAAAATGAATATGTTATAGCCAACATTTTAAGGAACTTCTCTGACATGATATAAATCAGTTGAAAAAATAGCTACTGTCTACAAAGGTACGTAAACTATGTGTTTTGAATGGTCCACAGAGAGCCAGTTTGGTGTAGTGGTTAAGAGCACGGTACTGGGACTCAGGCAATTTGGGTTCTAGTCCCCGCTCAGCCATGGAGCCAGCTGGGTGACTCTGGGGCAGTTAAAGACTCTCAGCCCAACCTACCTCACAGGGCTGTTGTTCTGGGGAGACAATTGAGTTCAACTGGGGAGTTCAGAACTCGGTATCAGTACATTTAGATCCCTAAATAGTTATGTTTAAATTGGACGTTCCTACCCTAGCCATATTCTCTTGAATTATATTACTGGTTAGTTCTATTATTACAGAGAATATAGACAGTACACCCACCAAACAGTAGCATTTCAGTGTTTTCCTTGTTGCCCTGCTTTGTTTTTTAAGAGTAAATTTGTGGACATTTTTCTGACTGTGAATACGATTATGGCAACTGACTGCCTGATGCGGACTGGCAAAGTGCCATTGATGCATCTGGAGGGCAAAGAGACAAGTGAGGAAGCTGGTATCTTTCTGCACTGCTTATCCTCCATCTCCTCCTCCCACTTTCAACATCAGGTTGTTCTGGGTGGTCCCTTCACCTAGGGTCAGAACATTTGTGTGTGAGTATTCTCATTTCATTTTGCACTAAACATGAACAAAACAAATTAAACTTTTTAAAAATAGGGTGTAAAAGAAATGAAAGGGAAGGGCTCATTTGAAGAATGATGGTTGATGAAATAAGTGTGAAAAATAAAGGCTGATTTTAGCAAAGCTTTCTTCAATGTTCTGTTATTTACAATGATTTCTGTTCTCCTGATGAGTAGCCCTTTAGTCATTCCTGAAAACTGTCTGGAAGGGAACTAGTTTAGGAAATGACTAATTTAAGGGCCAATTGCCAGGACAAGCAGGAGCCATTTAAACACACCAAATGGAGAGACCTTGCTGACTGAAGAGAGAAATCCTAAATGCATGCTTCCCAGGGAACACAGTGGAATTATTATGGGTAATGTATTGCTATACTAAGTGCTGCATGGAAATGATTCCATGCTGGTTGCAGAAGAGCAAAATTTCAGTTGTGCTAAAGGTCTCTGGACTTTGTATAGTTACTTGGAAGTAAGGTCCATCAAACACTGTTGGTCTAAGAAAGCAATCCCAACTAGAGTGAGGTTGGCAAGTGACAGATCACCCACCACTCCCCCTGTCTTGAAGGCATTGTCCTGTCCAAGAATCATCAGAGGGAATCATCACAGGGAAAAGGCAGGCCTTGAAGTTGCTCATCACCTGGACAGCAGACTGAGCAGGCTCGCACAGGCCACCGTCTTCCGCAAGAGGGTGAGAGGAACAGCAATTCTCATTTTCTAAATTCACATACACATCACAATATGCAAACACTTGTTCTCTTCTTTGGTGATTCATTAAGAGGCCCACCTAAATGGGAAGGAAATGAGCTTTATAAGATCCAATCTGGTGTTACTTAGGGGCCTTATTGCTGCTCCTACGCACCTTTCTCCCAGACTGTTCTGTTCTGGGCATACTGTCAGCATTATATTTACACCAGCAAATCATTCTACTTAACTAAGACATCTGTGGCTCACCTGTCAGTGAAGTTCCTTTTTGCTTTGAACCCCTCCAAACCCAATATAACAGTGTGAGTAGGTTTGCCTGAAATGACAAGCCAGTGTTTTTCTTTTTGGCACTGTTGGTCCATCAGGTTGTCTGAACCCCGCTGCAGTATTTCAGTGTGGTACGCTCTCAGTACTGCAAAGGCTTGTTGTATCGTCCAAACATGGATGACACAACTCATCATGGTAGCAAGGTCAGTATCAGAGGGTCACTTTGCAAGAGAGGCCTGCTACCCTTCTTGCCCCTCTGAAACCATTTTCTACAGCTTTCAGCAGCCTCCCTGCTCTGCCTGCCTTAAAGAATTTATTTGGGACAGAGGCAGGCAATCAGCTGGTTGGTCCTGGGAAATGAGCAGTGTCACTCAGTGATTTCTTCTCCCACCCACATGCAACAGAGGGAAACCCCACATGTATACAAGCCAGAGAGGCGAGTATCAAGTGGCAGTACTCAGTGGGCAGCCATATCTCTCCACTGATTTCTCTGCTCTCACACTGTGCATGTGCCAGAGGGAAGCTCCTTGCACATGTGAGTTGGAGGGGCAAGACTCAGCTGGGTCCTCCTACCTGGTTCGTGGGACTAATCTTACTCAGAAGTAATCCACACTGGCTTCAAAGGGAATTATTTCCAGTGTGTATAAGAAAAACAATCCACAAACATTAAGTGTTGTTAACACTTCACAGATGCTTAAAAGTGTGACTCTCGGGACAGCATTCTATTTTTACGTACTCTGTATGAAAATTATTACAGCTGTCTCTTTTTGGATTGGTACAAAATGTGCTCCATAGCAGAGTTTATTTAAGGTCAGCCGAGCCATAACATCTTGAATGGTATTATTTTCATATAAGAGGAAGGATGTGGACTGTCCAGAAACAATTAAAGTTGCCAGGAATTAACCAGAAAGTGAAGGTTGCTTCTGAATCAGAAATTGCTCCAACACAAGTGCTGGTACTATAAATGGCAAAAATTAAATACTAGTAAGGAAATGTCTGCATTGCCTTTTTGAAGAAATTTTGAGTAGCAAGCAACTTGCTCTAAGCTGAAAAGGAAATAGATTTAAGAGGTGCAAATATAGGTAAATATTTCTAAGTAACATGTTAAAACTTACTTACAATTAAGTTTTAACATGTTACTTAGAAATATTTACTTATAGCGGACATTTCTAAGACAGAGCTAAAATGCACTAGGTAAACCGCTTGGAATTAGGAGCAACCAATAATCACTTTTATATCTCTTAGCTCCCCCTGCTGGATTTTGCTTTTCTTTTTCTTATACAGAGATAACTTCTAATGTCAAGCTAAACAAAATAATTGCAATAAACAATATTTTCAATTGCTAAAGCTGTGTAGCAATTTGTTAACTGCTTAGTTGTTCCAGTCATCTGGATTCTAAAAAGTTAGTTAACTGGTTAAATTAAAATGACACACCCAAACATTGGGGGGTTTTTTCTAAGCAACAAATGTCCCCGGTATTTAAAATGGGCATTCTTTTCAAGTGATTGTTTGCTTGTTGAATATTTGTACGCTTCTTATGTAATTGTAGTGCTGTTACTATACTGTATTGGTCTTTTTTATGCATATCATATATCCTGGCATATAAAGTGATGAGGTTGCTATTTTGGGTTGTTTTTCTGATGTTCATCATGTCAGGTATAAAAGATAAGTCCAAATTTTTGCTTTGCTATTTTGACTTTCAATGGCTGCCCTATATGCCAGTATATATGGTAATGTTATGTACAGCCTGAGATCCTTGGTGAACGAAGGGTGGTTTATGTGAATGGTAGCCCACTGGACTTGGAGGCATCTGGCCATTCAATGCAGCAGAGATCATCAGCGCCTCCCAGTTCTCCACTCTGAAATTTTGCTAGATTTTGTAAGGGCACTTCTGATGAGGAGGGAAGGAGCCTGGAAGAAGCTCAGGATAAGCTGAAGCTTAGCATCAACATTTTCTTCCCCACAAACCAGAATACCTCCTTTCCCATCTCCTGTCAAGTTTCCAGCCACAGAGAAGCAGCAGTTCTTTCCATGTTGGCTGTGAAGGGTTGAGGAAGGATCTCCAACTCCATGTTCTGAGGTCAGAATACTGGCTCCAGCTTTGAAAGGATTTTATGAGCAATCCTGTGGTTCCAGGAACAGTCTGTCAGGGACAGTAAGATTGCTTTTGTAGAAGTTTCAGTAAATCAACAAGAAGTAATGTTGCCAAAACCTTGGTCTAGGCACCTGTCTGAGTTATTAAAGGAAATGTAAGATCGCAATAAAAACATAAAATTCTGTGTGGATGTAAAAGCCATCCCTTCATACTTTAATTTCACATCTCACAGCAGAAACAAAACAAAAGCAAATGTGTCCTTAACTCACCCCTAAAAGTTTCATTGGTTGCTGAATACGCTGATGAAAGCAGTCAGCCTTAGCATTTATGCTACAGTCTCATGATGCTCCTACAAATGCTTGAAAATGTTCTACACTTGTGGGGTTACCTATGAATTCTGATCCCTGAAACAAAGGTTAGAATTAATGGAACCAATGAGAAGCAACTGACAAGTTAGGGTGCATGTCTAAGTGAGAATGCTATGCAATAGCAAGCTCTTCTGAAACCTCTGATTTTTAACCTGAAGGTGGACAGCTTTCTACTTCAGAAAATAGGGTTAGCAATCAGAGCCCAGTGTAACATGTTTAAAGCTAATGTTATTAATTGAACCTATGCTATAACCTTCATATGCCAGAAGTGCAACTGTTTGTTTGCTATGTTTACATTCCACCTTTCCTTCCAAGGAACAAGCCCAAAGTGGTGTGAAAGTTCCTTTTCCTCTTCATTTTATCCTAACAACAACCCTGTAAAGTAGGTTAGGCCAAAAGTCAGTAACTAGTCCAAAGTGACCCCAAGAACTTCATGATTGAGAGTGGACTTGAATCCAGATCTCCCAAATCATAGTTCAACATTTTACAATTACATCACTGTGGTAGAAGCAGCTGATTAAAGGCAATTAATAGAATGTTTACACTCAATTTTATTTTTCAAAGGAAATTTTCCTATATCAAATTCCTTGTATCAGAGGGTTTTAGCAGCAAATATGCCATAGTTTTTGATTCAAATAGAAGTTATTAGCATTTCTAGAATGGAGAAGCAATGCAGCACCAATTTGCTGCAATGGTGATGACAGTATTGTCTCTTTTTCATCTGGTGTTTGGTGTTTTCTCCATTCAGAATTCACACTGCAACATTTTATTGGTTACTGCTCCCTCACTTCAACAACTTTCTTTCCTCACAGGGCTACTCAAATAAAGACCTACTCCTGGGATAATGCACAAGTCATTCTGGTTGGAAACAAATGCGATATGGAGGATGAGAGAATAATTCCAATCGAAAAAGGAAAACATCTGGCTGATCAGTTAGGTACATGCTGAAAGTTATCTTTCTCCCACCCACCCTGTTTATCCTCTAGATGAAATCTCATCCCATTTCCCCATTTCTTCAGATAACCTGTTTTTACAGGGTTAGGTTTAAGGTTATTGAGTTAGGATTTTTGGGATGTTATTGATTAGCTAGGTTAATTTACATTTTATAATACTGCAGTCTGATTAATTGGGTCAATTTTTTAATCAGTTAAGGGAACAATATGATGCATGTTTAGGCAGAAAAAATCCCTACTTTTCCCCACATCCCTACAGGGAATGCTCCAACGTATGATTTTTGCTATTGGGAAGCCCCATATTAAGAGGCACTCTCCTTTCTCTCACATATATGAGAAATATCTTTTCCAAGATGAGGTCTGCAGCAACAGATGTCTAAATTACCTAAAAACACACTCTCTGCCTTCTTTCTTTTGCATCAGATGTACTGTTTTGCCCTTGTACACATTTAACTGGTAGCTCACTCAACTAATCCTCACTTGATTTTCTCATTACTTTGTGCTGTCAAGTCTTTTCTGGCTTTTAGTGACCCTATGAATGAGTACCCTCCAAAAGGTCCTGCCCTTGACAGCCCAGCTCAGCTCTTGTAAATTCAAGGCTGTACCTTCCTTTATACAGTCAATCCATCTCATATTTGGTCCTTTGCTTGTTCTGTCTTCAAACTTCCCTAGCATGATTGTCTTTTCCAGTCTTGGATATGCCCAAAGCATGACAGCTTCAGTTTTGTAATTTTTGCTTCTAGGGAAAGATCTGGCTTGATTTGATCTACAACCCACTTGCTCACTGTTCTGTCAGTCCAGGGTATTTGTAAAGCTCTCCTCCGATACCATTGAATGCATCAATTTTCGTTTTGCAGCTTCTTCACTGTCCAGCTTTCACACCCACATGCAGTGAATAGGAATACAGTAATGTGGATTATTTTGGCCTTGCTCTCCAGTGAAACATCCTTAAAGTTGATGATCGCTTCATGTTCCTTTACTGCTGCCATTCCAAGTTTCAGTCTTCTTCAGATTTCTTGGCTGAGTGAAGATATTCAAAATGTTTGAAATTTCAGCTTCTTCAGTGTTAATTGTAAAGCTGTGCAATCCTTCTGTAGTTACAATTTTCTTAATATTCAGCTGCTGTCCTGTTTTTGCACTTTCTTCTTTCACTTTCATCAGTAGTCATTTCAATTTATTTATTTATTTATTTTATTTAAAACATTTCTATGCTGCCCCCATCACAACAAAGCCTCAGGGCGGCTCACAAAGAATACATAAAAACTTAAATAAATAATAATAATATAACAATTAAAAAAACATTTAAATTCATTGCTGCTGTCTGCTAGTAACTTGGTATCATCTGCATATCTTAAATTGTTATTTATCTTCTGCCAATTTTCATTCTTTCTTCCTCTGATCCTAATCCAGCTTTCCTTATGATAGATTCTGCATACAGAATAGGTACGGAGATAAAATACACCCTTAACTGATGCCTTTGCCCATATCTGTTTCTTCATATTCTGTCCTAACAGTAGCTTCTTGTCTACAATACATCAAGATGATCAAGTACCAATCCTCATATATGGTCCTCATTTACTTCAGGACCATGCTTAGAATCTCATGGCTTTGCTGTAGTCTATAAAGCATAGCTGATCATCTTCTTTGGTGTGCTCCAATAGCCAATGTATATTTGTGATATGATCTCTAGTGCCTCTTTCTTTTTGGAATCTAGCTTGAACAACAGGCATTGTTCACTCCATGTAGGATAATATTCTTTGTTGTAACACTTTGAGCATCACTTTGCTTACATGGGAAATTAGTATAATGGTCCTGTACTTGCTGCACTCTTTTACATCTTCTTTCTTGGGGACTGGAATGTATACTGAACATTTCCAGTCATTGTTTTGTTTTCCATATTTGTTTTCCATATTGGCATATTCTTGGTAGGATTTGGACCAATTTAGGCTCTGCAGCTTAGAATAGTTCTAATGGTATCCTAACTACTCTGGGTGCTTTATTTCTTCCAAGTACTTTCAGAGCATCTTTCCCTTTACTTTCTAATATTGCAGGCTCTTCCTCATAGGATTCCTCTTTGAAGGAGTCTGTCATCCTTTCATCTCTTCTGTATATTGTTTCCACCTTTCCTGTATGTTCTGCTAATCAGATAATATGTCTTCCCTGTTTGTCTTTCAGTATTCCTTGTCTAGGTTCAAATTATCTTTTGACTTCTTGGATCTTTTGGAAGAGGTCTCTTGTTTTGTTTCTTTTGTTGGTCTCTTCTGTTTCTTTGCACTGGTCATTGTAATAGTTCTTTTGATCACTGAAAAGTTGTATTTGGGTTTCTGACCCTATTTCTATCACCTTTTTTCTCTCACCTGTCCTTAACAATTGTTGAGTGTCTCTTCTGTCATCCATCTAGGCATTTTTTTTTGTTTTGCTACCGGAATTATATTTTTGCATTCTCAACTCTGGATTCAGTACAGAATCCTCCAGGCCAAATTCTCCCACAGCATTGAGTTCTGCTTTGTTTCCTACTTTTGAATTCCAGTCAACTATGATTATCAGCATGTCTTGTTTTGGTGTGTTGCCAACTTTCTCTTGAACATCTGCCCAAAAGTTTTCAATTTCTTGTTTTGCAGCATCTTTTGTTGGAGCATAAACTTGAATGATCATTATGCTGACATATTTCCTACAAATTATGATTGATATAATTCAGTCAGACTTTGCTTTGTAGCTCCTTACAGCCTGTACTACATCTTATCTTAATATTAGAGCCACTCTGTTTCTTCTGATTTTGTCATTTCCAGAGTAAAATACTTCCAAGTTTTTCTGACTGAAAATGTCCCATTCCAATTTAGTTCACTCACACCAATCCTTAACCATTCTCTTACTTGCTTTATGGTTTCCAGTTTTCCTCAATTCATACTTCTCATGTTCCATGTTCTAATTGTATGTGTTGTGCAGCATCAGATTTTCCTTTTACCTTTGTGCATGTCAACTACTAAACTTCATTTCAGTTTTGTTCTAGTTGCATTATTAGCAACGCACTATTTGTACTTGTCAAAGTATGATGTGGCCAAATGCACTTAATGTTTATACATATAGATTTGATGGATAGCTGCAAAACAACTCTTTTTGCTCCTTCTCCAGTTTTTCTGCTGTCCGCAAAGGCATTATGTGTTCTCCATATGGGGGTTCAAAAATAGAAGGAATGTTGATAGTGGATTAGACAACCTAATGTCTATTGGTTGCTGGGATTGTTACAGAGAATAGTAGCATATCTTGATGTGATTTAGAAAGGTATTGGTTATGTTATTAACCCAGAGTGCATATTCAGAAACACCAATCAATTAGTTATACATTTGATTCTTTAGAGGACATTGAGTATGTATTATCTTTAAATTTAATACATGGTGGACCACTGAGTTTCTAAGAGGAAAATGGTCCATGCCACACTGAAGTAAACAAACACCTGGAATAGTATATCTAGTCAAAGAACTATTCATATTGGTCATGTTTTATAATAGGAAATGCTTTTTTGTCTACAAGTGCTGATTTCAGAAGATGTAAGTACTGCTTAGAGGTTCTGAACTTCAGGTTTTATTCAAATACAGGGGTCCTCAAACTTTTTCACCAGGGGGCCAGCTGAAAGGTGCCAGTGCTGGGCACGGGCTGGAAAGGTGGTGCCCAGGGTGGCGCATCCTGGCTGGCAAGGGGGCGGGGTGTGGTGAGGCACAGGTGCATGCATGTGGTGAGGGAAGGCGAGGTGCGGGTGTGCGGCGAGGGAAGGTGAGGCGAGGTGGGGGCAGGCACGCGTGCTCGCTTGGAGATCGTTTTCTCCGAGCGAGTCCAAAACAATCTCGGCAGGAGTAAGCCACCGCCTCCCCATGCACGGAGTGAAACGGGTGGTGGCAGGCAAACGCATGGGCACAGGCACGCACGCGGCAAGTCCAAAACCTCTGTGGTGGGCCGGATCTGGCCCACGGGCCGTAGTTTGAGGACCCATGTTCAAATACAACTCCAACTGTTTATGATGAGAATGGAAAATGTTAGTCCAGTGTGACATGAGATGCAATCTTGGGATAACCAGATATTGATTTCTATACTTTTTTAAAAATGAAAACCAGGTTTTGATTATTTTGAAGCTAGTGCCAAGGAGAACATCAACGTGAGACAGGTCTTTGAGCGCCTTGTCAACAACATCTGTGAAAAAATGTCAGAGAGCATGGATTCAGAAGCTTCTAGGACTACTGCTGGGAAGAATGTACGTCTTACATACAACCCACCCCCACTGCAGCAGAAATGTTCCTGTTAGGGCCTTAAAACCTCTAAGAACGCTCTTGAGGGTAATAATTATTTACAGTCTTTAGAAAGAGATGTTTTAGTGCTAGTGGAGTTGGTTACTTTTATTTGATGTCCCCCAAATCTGTTTTCACTTTTACTAATAGAATATAAAACAGTGTCAAGTGTATTTAGTGTTCCAGTGAAATGTTTTGCTAAGTATTTTATATATAGTCTCACATAGTTTCTGATGTTTCTTTTATTTTGCTACTGGCCAGATCATCTAAACTCACACACAATTCTGACTATCCTAATAAGAATCCACTGTTATCTACTGTTTAATGTTATGATCCAAGGTGCAGTTTGAAGCTCCTAACAAAACAGAACAGTGTGAAGGAGAATTGGGAAGGATTCAGTGACGCCTGTATGCTAGTGCAATGTATGCTATTATGATAGCTTTGGCTATTGCACAGTATAGAAATATAATTAATATTAAAATAATAACAGAAACCAATGCCAATGTAGCAATCTAGTGCAATGTCAGTAGCACTTCCTGTGCAATAAAAATTGTCACACACGAGGGTTATGCAAGTTGGTTTCTGTTAGCACAAATAAATAACCTAGCAGCCAGGCACCATTGGATCTTTTATAGAATTTCCAGATTCTTTAGGAGATAGACAAACAACAGCAGTGTATTATGTGCAAACCTCTTTGGTTTCTGTGCCTCCTAAGGAATTATATAGCTAGAACACACTTTGAACTCATTTAGATTTGTACCCTCCATTGATGCAAAGCCCTCTGCCAGCCAGATTAACATATGCAAAAGTAAATGTTATCAGGGTGAACATGAAAATTGCCAGAATGTCTGTAAGGCAATAAAAGGTAATGAACACCAGGAGTGGGTCATTGAAACATTTGATGTGCCCAACTTTTATAATCCTTAAGTTGCAATCCAAGATGGATAAAAATCATTTTTTAAAAAAATAAGAATTAGATTTTTTTTAAAAAATGCTTATTTAGGAAAAATCTAGCTAAGGATAGTTTCCATTTAAGATACATTATAGTTCAAACATTATTCTCCATGAAATAAGGATCAGTTTTTAATTATGTAGCATGAGGCTGTATATTCATGAGATGTTTAATTTTTTTGGTAAATGAATTCCATTAATCCATTCACAATGTCGTACTCTTCCAGAGGTTTGTGAAAGATTAACGAATGAACACATGTGTGAATTCAGAAGGGCAGCATTCCTATATTATGAGCAGAAAATTATTTGTGTTGCTTTATTTTTTTTACCCAGTTTGTTAGCCTCTTTTTATCACCTCTGCTCTCTTCTTGCTCTGTACCAGCACTTGCCTCTCTGGACAATGAGGGTTGGACAATGTATGATCCTCCAGATGTTTTGGACCACAACCCCTGAGCCAATATAGCCAGTAATGAAGATTGCCACAAGTTGTGGGCCAACAAAGTCTGGAGGCTCATTTTTCTTCAAAACACTTTTGCCAACTTTCTTTTTTCTTATATTCCACAGCATACACAATCTTCTATGTGACCCACCACAGATTAACAGCACCTCATTTTGGCTCCCACATTTTTCTTCGTTTGGCCTTTCTGTTTTGGATCTGTGACTTCCCCCACATACCCAACACAGTTTGTAGTCCTCCTTCCTGTGTTTGGTTTCAACAGTGAACAAGCATTTCATTTGCTCAACTAGTCACACATTGAGGAAGCCAGTGCCAACTCTACCACATGCTTCTGAAACTGTGGGAGGTGAGCAAAGCAGACATTCTTCTACTCTCACCTTTCATGGCCTTGGACTAGACTTTGGGAGTTCCATAAAGAAAAGGATTCCAACAATGGGCATTTTGAACTGTCCCAGGACTTAGGTTAGGCATTCGTGCTGTAAAGCCGCCTTCCCCAACCTGGCGGCCTTCAGAAGCATTTGGACCACAACTCCCAGAATTCTCATCCAGCAGAGCCACTGACTGGGAGTTCTGGGTGTTGCAGTCGAAACATGTCTGGAAGGTGAAAGGTTGGGGAAGGGTGCTCTAAAGTAAGGATTTTCATTAGCTCAAGAAACCTCCAAAGTCAACATGGTTAAACAAATGCTGTGGATATCTAACTAGTTACTGAACAGGTATCTCACCACTGATCACAATATATTTTGGGGACACCCCCCATGTAAGAATGGCCATTTTAGAAGCTTTGTACCTATGCAAAGGAGCACTGGCTAGCTTCAGAAATGGAGATCTGAAAAGTTCCTTTTTCTGCATATTATATACTTTAGATTCTGGTCCTTGGTTATGCAGTATTTAATTTTAACAGTGAAATATAACACTTTTTCCACTTGCCTATTTACGCTGTTCCATTATATTACAGTACCACATAGAAGGAAAGTAGTGGAAAAGCAGGAAAAGAATCACTCCTAATGAAGTGTTTGGATCTCAGTAATGTAAATGGAGCAGTGCAGGAAAACCAGGGTGACAATTCTGGAAAAAAGCTGCACTGTCTGCTAAATAAGGCAAATATTTTAAATTTTCCTGTCAGTATCCCCTCCTCTTAGCCAAGTTCAGGAACAAGTTCTTTGCAGTCTGCAAGTTCAGCCACTTGAAACTTGCTCTTGGCAATTCTACTATAGAGAGACAATTTCAACCCTCTGGTGAAAATCCAGAGATACCCACACCCTTTTCGTGGTCCTACTCCCTTTCCACTAACTAACCTTTTGTTTCCTGGCATTTGTGCATCCCCCCTCCATCCTAACAAATTGAAATGCCTCTCCTGAGATTTAGTTATTGGCATTAAGACCTTTAGACTAAAATATGCTAGTAGTTTTGCTGAATCCACCAATGGAATACAGCCCCCTAGCTTCTCTGAAATGAAGTTAGGACCTCCGGCGAAAAGAGGTCCTGCACCCCTGTTGTGCAGAGTTACTTGGGCATCAGCCCCTTTGAACCTGGGATTTACATCCAAGTTGACATGCATAAGGTTGCATTCCAAAGGGTGTATTCTACTCTATTCTGAGTAGAGAAAAATACAACTCTACTCAGCCATTCTTATCTTAGTATACACAAATAGGAATCACACTGTTCATTTTTGCACTGTCAGTTACTTCAGCTCAGTAGCAATAGCAAATGTGAAAGTAATTTAAAATGCTTTTTGTAGAGAATTGGGATTGTTCTTATTTTTGTCTTAAGGTTCTATTTTTGTGTGTACTTATGAGCTGCTGTTTACAAGGCACTGTTTGTGTAGTGCTTAAAGTGTATATATTGTTCCTAATTATAAGATGCTGACAAAATAAAGGATACTATTTAGTAGCTGTGGATTATCTGAGTATTAATTTAGGTTGCTAATTAGATATAAATAACTCACTGCACTAGGAAATAAGTCTTTGTCACTTACAGATTGTATGGTACTGAATTCATTCATACTAAATGCTTGATGATCACTCTCCAGAGAAATATATATTGGAATTTGAAGTAACCTAACCAGGTTATATAACTTCACATGATTAATAAAGAAAAAGTATCTGGGTAAGAAGTCTCTTAAGGAAAAATACTTTAGAGAATGTCCACAACAAATTTTAGCCTTCCAGAGTCATCTTATTCAAGATTAAACACACACAAAAATGCAATCAAAATAATGAGATAAAAAGAGACAGCAATCCAATGTGGCTGCCAGCAACCCTCCTCCCACCCTCAAAAACCCATCTCCAAAATTGTTCTTGCAGGCTCAGGGCCATAGCTGCTGCTTTTCACCCCTGCGGTGAGGGCAGGGAGAGAGTGCCCCAAGTTCCACAACCCACAGAGTAAGTTTCCAGGATTATAGTTGGTGCTCCAAATTCTCCCGTGGCTGTTCAAACTCTATCTAGCAGCTGCAGGATTGTGCCCTAAAGGTGCAATTCTATACATGTCTAGAAAGGAACACAAAAGCCTGCAGCAACCACCACCCTACAGAATGGCTATCTGGGGCATGGTGGGAGTTGTAGACCTCTAAACATACAGGATCACCCCTAAATCATAAAAACCCCATTGGAAATGAGCATAAAGCTTGTGTTTATCTTAAAACTTACTGTAAGAGCATAAGATTGAAGCTCAGTTCTCCACTTAATTCTGGGTACACATGTATTGGAGAATGCTGCAAAACAGCTTAAAATCCCAGCAGAAAAAAAGGATTATTTATTGTATTGGATTTCTAACCTGCCCCATTAGCCACACAGCTCCCTGGGCAGGGTACAACAGTAAAACCATAAAAACAACATAAAACCATAAATTACCAACTACAATAAAACATTAGAATAATAAAATTATAAAAACGTATCCGCTGACAGAACTAGTAATTTCATAAAAGGCATACCCCATTGTTAAAATGCCATTAAAAGCAAGCTAACAATTGCAATACCTTTGAAATAAAAAGTTCTTTGCCTGGGCCGAAAAAGATATAAAGGGGTTTATCCTAGTCTCTAAATATGTTTGGGGGATGTTTTATACAACTAAAATATTAAGGGAAAGCCCCAAGTCCATTTCATTTTCTGTGTACAGAATAGCTAGTTTACAGAGAGGGAGACTGAACCTAAATTTGATTTAGGGCACAATCCTATGAATTATGAAGACAGAAATAAGTCTCTCGACTTGCAGCATGCCGCAGCCATCTATGCTGAACATACACAGGATTGGACCCTTAGATGTTTTTACTATAGCTACTACAATCCCTGTGTAGTTATTGAATATTTAACTCTATTTCAGAGGGTTTAGGACTACACCAGAGTAACACTGTATAGGAGTGAATTTCATCTTTTTAAATATCTGTAGCACTTCATTTCAGAATTTTAAAGCACTGCCTTTAACTGTATTTAGTATAAGCATATTGTCAAAGCTTCTTAAGAATACAATGTTTCCTAGATATTCCTAGTAAAAAGCCACATACTTTTTACAAAGAAAAGCACACCTGTGAAGAGTTTCAAGGTCACTAGAATAATTGGATAGAGTTTTCTCACCCATTGCCTGCATCCTGTTGAGCAATGATTTGGTCTGAAAGCCAAACTAGAGCAACTCAAAAGGTGTAGTCTTACTGTACAAAAGCTTAATACAGTAGAATGTAAGACACTGCATTATCTTACATTTTGTAGACTTTCTATTTTGCGTCCCAGAAATCTTTAGAACTTATTAACAGTTGTTAGTCTAATCTCACTGCTTTGTTTCAATGCTGCTTTAATATAGTTTTGTTTATTATTGTATCCCATATTGGTCACATTTGTGAAAATTTCACAAATACAAAAATTATTAGTATGTAAATATTAATGGGGAACTGGTGTGATATGGAGCTTAGTGTGTTGAATTATGATCGGGGTTCTTATTCCTACTTAGCCATGAAGTTCATGGGTCAGTCACTGGTTCTCAGCCTCATTTGCCTCTCTGGGCTGCTGTCAGAATAACATGGAAGGAAATAGCAAGATTGTATAAACTGCCTTGGGTTTCTTGCTGGAGGAAAAAATGTAGGTTATAAATGCAATAATAATAAATGTATATTTGATAACTTAGGATGCTTCATGTGCCTGAAGAAGTAGACAGTAGTCCATGAATGCTTATTAGAAGAAATTTTAAAATCCATATTGCTGTAATAAATTTAATTATGCCAACCAAAAGATCACGCCCCCCCCCGCCCTGCCCCCAATGCAAGCTTTCAAAATCTCCGGGTCTCTTTTTCAGGTGAGGTGCTATGCAGGGGGAGGGGAGAAACGACTAAATGGTGAAGCCACACTGTTCGTAAATCCAGATCAGTCAGTCTTAGGTGAAGAGATGGAAAAAGAGTCCGCAGGTCATGTGATGGTTACACAAGTGTAACGTTCAGGAGAGGCCCGTTGAAAAAGAACTAAAAAGAAAAATGTATACTAAAATTCCGATCACTTCACATAAAAACCCCTCACAAAAACGAGTTAATTACTCTACATTTGTCACCTGGTGGTGTTTTTTAATAATGAGCCTAAGAATACAATCCTGTGTATGTCTACTCAGAAGTAAACACTGCATTCATTAGATTTGTGCTTAAGAAAGTGTGTTTAACTATACCTTTTTGTCTGGAAGCAGCTTTTATTGAACTCAGTGATCCTTACTATAGAATAGATACGCACAGAGATAATCTAGACATCACCTGCATGACTACCAAAGCAGGCACGTCTTCTCCTCCTTCTATGCCCTACCGCGCGTAGGGACTCCTCCCATTGCCCCACATTCGAAAAGATGCGCTTGGAGGCATCTGTCCCAAATTATTGGTCTATTTTTCTATGACTGACAGCTTGATGTCCCAACCTAGAAGAGCCTCTCTTTAAAACAAGCATTTGGGTAGTCCTAACAAAGTTTTGAGGAAAACGTACATTTTATATCGTTTAAAGGGAAACGTCAAACGCCAGTCTTTCGTGGAGAGAAGACCTTGAATAAATAAACAAACGCAGGGGAGGCTTCATGCCACAATAAAGCACAATAATGTGCTTTAGCCCCTAATCTTTCCCCCACCCTACCTCACAGGAATGGATTATCCCACTCTTGCCTCCTAAGCCTGAATGTGTCCTCTCAAAGAGACGGCCTGCGCTCGAGGGAGCCTACGATTTGCTGCGTGTGGCACGTGAATGTTCAGCGCTGTTCTGATTGGTCAGTAATGGTGGGTTCCGGCCCTTGGCACCGGCCTGTGGCGGAGAGCAGGAGTTGCCGGGCCGGGCTTTGGCCTGCGGTTGATGCTGGGAGTTGCGGTAGCCGCTTTATCGCGTGCAAGCCCGGTGGCGAAGCAGCTTCGAACCCTCGTCAGCCGTAGTCGCCGTGACCATCAAGCCGAGCTCCGAAGGAGCCTTACCGCCGCCGGGTTTCTTGTGTGCCGCGCCGCCGCTGCCGTGACAGCCATGCCGGGCAGGGCCAAGGCCTCTCCCGTCTGCGGCCCGGACCAGTCTGAGGATTTGGAGGGCAGCCGTGGGGCCAAGGCCGGTGCAATTCAGGACGAGCCGGAAGCAGATGGAGAGGGCACCGCTGCCGTCGCCTACGAGCCCACCCCCAATTTGGGGGATCCAGAGATTGTCAAGTCCCCCAGCGATCCTAAGCAATACAGGTGAGTAGTTGAAGGGAAAGGCTGCCAGAGGTAGTGGGCGAGTCAGGTGGGCATGAAACTTCTAAGCCAGCTTTCCCCCAACCTGGCGCCCTCCAGATGTGTCTGAAGTGCAGCTCGCAGCATCCACAGCCGAGGAGATGAGTTGTAGTCCAGCACACCTGGACGGTTCCAGGTTGGGGAAAGCTAACTTAGAGACATGGGATGTCTCCTTCATCCTTGAATAAAGAAGGAAGGTGAATTTGTCTGCACGCTTCTCATTATTAAAAAGGCCATCTAAACTAATGGCCATGACTGAAACTCATTGGTAGTGTAAGAGGTGCTGTTACATGCTGTTAATGAGGTTGAGGGTAGATAAATTGGAGTAGCATAAGCCTTTCCGTTGCTTTTAGCTGTGTTGGCTGTAGGCTCCATGTTTGTAACAATGTATCCAAAATGTTAGTTGCTAGGTGAACAAGTTGGGTGATACGACCTGTTTTCATGTCCTGCTTCTGGATTTCCTAGAGGAGTGATTTGTGGTCAGCTTCTGTGAAACAAAATGTTGGATTTTATAAGGTCTGTTTGATCCAGTACAAATGAAGGCTTCTTGTATTTTTATCTTATAGCTCATCAGTTTTGGTCAGTTAATGCTCATGATGACCCAGTTCCACACCATTTGATGGCCCCCCAGTGTAGGAATTAGTGCATTGGACCTGGACTAGGAGACTTAGGTTCAAACATCTGCTCAGGCATTAGACTCATGTCAGTCTAACCCACATCTTGAATGTGTTTACTTGGAAATAGGACTCACTTGGACATATTCCTAGGTAAACGGCATATGACAAAAAAGAGAATGAAAGAAAGAAAAGAGCAAGTGAGAGAGAACAGAAAAGAAATCAAGCATTAATAAATATGATGTATTACATAAGATGAGGTGGTGAAACATTTTTTGTTGAGGACTGCATTTGCTGCAGGGTAATTTGTCTGAAGCTGCATGCCAGTGCTGGGTGGGGCCAAAGCCTAAGTGAATGGGGCCACCCTCTCTCTGTCTCTGTCTCTCTCTCTCTTTTGCCTACATTTAAGCAGAGTGTGGGAACAGTTGTTGTGTGTAAACTTCTACAGGGGTCTCTGAAAAAGACAGTTTCCAAGATGAATCGTGGTGGCCTTACTGTTTCTTATTTGGCCATTAGATGGCCAACTTCCTTAGTGGTATGAAATGTTTTGACAGATACTCCCCTGCACATATGCACTTCATTTGTGCTGTGGATTTATATGAGCAGAGAGGTGGCATCAGGTTACAAAATGTTTTGATTCCTTTGACAGAGGGCTGTTTCTCAGCCTGAAGAATTTCAAGGTGTGCTGCATAAACCAGGGGTGGGGAAGGTGTGTTCCTCTAGATGTTGTTGGATGGCAGTTCCCATGATCCCTAGCATAGCCAATGGTGAGCAGTTGTAGTCCAACTGTAAACCCTAAAACTTTGTATAAACATGGGTAATAGACCCAGTAGCCATACTAGTTCTATTGGTAGGTACAGTTAGTGCATGTGTATATATACAGCAGGACCCCTATATCCATAAGGATTGGTTCCAAGTCCCCCAGCCTGAAGCCACAGATAAAAGGGAACACTATATTATGTATACTATATACAGTTATCCCCCCCCACACACAATTGCATTCATTCTTACCTCATCCTACCATTCTTTTCTTTTCCTATTAAAGCAAGAATTTCATTTACAGGTAGCACTCTATGACTTCTCTGTGGTACTTTACAGCACTTTATAGCTACTCTTTTGGTTGAGGTCAACCACAGTTATAACTGCAAAGGCAGAAACTGGGCCAGTGGATACGGGGGTCCTGCTATATTTCCCACACATGCTACAAATATAACATGTTTCAGCAGATATGAAATGGAATTCATAAAAAAAATTAAATGTCATTAGAGCTGTGCATAGAATATATAGTTTCTGAATCAAATATGCTGGTTAGTAACACTTTTGTGACATTATCTACTGTGTTGCCATTCTTGCCACTGCTATGTTGTGATCTATTGCTCAGTTAACAATGACAGTACCCTCTTGAGAAGCCCATATCAGTTTCTCACATTACCTTGTTCTTCCTCTTGCAGCCAGTCCTTTGGCTTTCCCTTGATATTTTTGTTGGTTCTACTGCCAAAGGGAACTGACAAGATTGTGCACTACTTTTCCATTGAGACTGGACAATTCTGCTTTGTGATTTTTTATTTTTTATTTTTTGTAAGACCAGTGTGTGTGTGATAAGAAGGTATATCACGTTTTTTCTTTTTTCTTTAAAGATGGTGATCTTTTCCAACTCTATTGTATGTATATATGTTTTTGCTTCGGTATCATAGAATAATAGCGTTGGGAGGGGCTAATAAGGCCATTGGATCCAACCCCCTGCTTAATGCAGTCTCCAAGTTAAAGCATCCCTAACAGCTGTCCAGTTTTATTTTGAATGCCTCCATTGTGCGAAAGCCCACAACCTCCCTAGTTAATTGGTTCTATTGTCATATTGTGCTGACAGACAGGAAGTTTTTCCTTATGTTCAATTGGAATGTGGCTTCCTGTAACTTACCCTATTGTTCCACCTTCTCTACTCTGGGATGATTGAGAAGAGTTCCCAGCCCACCTCTGTGTGTCAGCCTTTCACGTACTTGAAAAGTGCTATTATATCTCCCTTCAGTCTTTTCAAAGCTAAACATGTCCAGTTCTTTCCCTCTTTCCTCATTCAGTTTTGTTTCCTGTGCACGGATTATCTTTGTTGCTCTCCTTTGACTCCTTACCAGTTTGCCTGCATCTTTTTAAAACTGTGGTGCCCAAAACTGGCTGTAGTACTCAATATGATACCTAAATAGTATTGCATAGAGGGGAACTAGTATTCACATGATTTGAAAGTGATAACTTTTATTAATGCTGGCCAAAATAGCATTTGCCTTTTTTGCAGACACAGCACAGTGTTGACTCATTTTCAGCTTGTAATCTGCAAGTATTTCAAGATCTCTCTGTCTTATAAGATTGTTGAACCAAGTGTCCTAAATCTCAAAATGATGCATTAGGTTACTTTTTCCTAGTGCGAAACTTGGCATTTGTCTCTATTAAACTTCATTCTATTGATTTTAGCCAGTGTATCAAGATCACCATGAATTTTATTTCTTTCTTCCAGGGTATTAACATGACATTGGATAGGCCAGTTATCTTTAAATTTGATAAGCATTCCATGTACCTACTCATCCAAATCTTTGATAAAAACGTTAAAGAGCATTGGGCCCAGGACTTGAACCCTGTGGTACACTGCTCATTGCCTCTTCCCAGTTTGAAAAGGTAACATAGATGAGCCCTCTTTGAGTTTGCTTCTGTAGCCAACTGTGAATCTACCTGATAGTTCTTTCATCTAGCCCACTTTTAGTTATTTTATTAATCAGGATATCATGGATACCGTGCCAGAAACTTTGCTGAAATCAAGATTTCCATAGCATTCTCACAGAACACCAGAAAATGAAATCAGATGCCTCAAGCTTGTTGTGTTGCTGTTCTAGCTCCTATATTTCACATTATTGTTGTAGGTCCATCCCTGCTTCTCAGAACTCTTCATCTATTCTTATTTGCTTGAAGGTGTATACTCCAGTACTATGGTTGCAATGAAGCTCCATGGAATCCACCACTCTAGCCTTCAAGAGCTTCCTATTGTACTCAGCCCTGTCTTGGAAAGAGAGCTGAGCCAAGAAGTCTGTGAACACTTGTGGAACAAAGGTGGTGCAACTGGCAACCTTCTTCTGTGTCATGTGCAGCACATAGAAAGGCTGTTGTTGCATGTGATGCAAAAGAGAGATGACCCTTATGCTGTGGCTGTGCAGGGCTTGATTTCTGGTGAGTGCTGACTGAGTTCAGATTCACAGCTGCAACAAAGCGGACCAGATTCTGGGAACTGAGCCCTGGGAATCCTACAGACTCTCACTTGGCAACTGGACACCTCACACATTCCTATCCTCCAGTAGTCTCACTTTTTCTTCCAATAGGGTAACCAGCTTACATTAGTTGCATTTGTAGGCCATGTAAATTGCAGGCAAGGAAAGAATCAGTGTAGAGATGCTGCAGTACATCTTTTCAATTGTACCTTAATGATTGCATTGGGATTGCTTTTGCTTTATCCTGTCTTCCCTGAAGTTTAACAACAGACTCCTATTCATACATATGTTACAAGAAAAAAATAAAGTTAGGCATCTCCCCCTTGCCCTACCTTGCCAAACTCCACTGCTAGAGTCCTGTTAGCTTGCTCAGACTGCTTGCTCTCTGGGAACTTGCTTGCTTGTTTGTATACCCCTTCCTCTGCTTTCTAGATCTGCTCAGCTAGGAGTCAGGAAACAGAATAGAAAAGGAACCTTGTAAAATTTTCACTCAAATAAATTCAACTGGACTTAGTTTTCACTAATATTACTTACTGTACAAAATCTTTCTTTCGGTGTTGAAGAAATCATCATCACTGTTACTTGAACGGGCTTTTAGAGGCATTTGCACCTGTTCAATGTGCTACAGAATTGCTTTTAAATGAGCAAGCAGAACTCATATTATTACATCATAGCCTATTTTCCTCTAGTCTCATAAACTAGCATATAAAACCTGTATTTTAAAACCACATTTTGAATATAAATGTACTTAGCTCATCCAGTTGCCTCTTGCCTTGGGCAATTGGAAAGTAAAGGGGAAAGGACAGTCTCGCTCCATCCATTGGCCAGAGCAGCTAGAACCACTGTGCTATTCAATCAAGAACACCAGCAAGGAAAGAGTAACCTAGTGCAAACTGGATATAAACTCCATGCTTATCGCTCACTGCTTTTTCTAGCTTTGAAGATCTCCTTCCTTTATCTTTTCCCTTTCCTCTTCTTTCCTTTGGGTGTATTGCTGTTTTCATTTGTAAATCAGATAGCAGGATTGGTTTCTCTTTTTGATTGAGCAGCTTTGGGATATGATAACTATCTGAATAGTTGAATAAAAATACCATGAATAATTTGTATTCTAGGTCTTCACTATTGTCCTGTCTGTAGAATTTGTATCTTAATGATTATACTGTGTATCATTCCAAGATAGGGTACTTCATTTACACCAGAGACAGGCATGCCATCTGTAGTATCTGGTATTAAATTGTGAAAACCAGCCAGCCTTTATTATGGTCATATGACTGATTCAGGTTAAAATACAGAGCAGAAACAATGAGAGAGAAACAACTTATTCAGTTTAGCTAATACAATTACTATCACAAATTTGTTGTGTTGGATCTAGAGTTCTGTTCATGCAGGAGGAAGGAGGGAGGGAAGGGAACTTCCCAGTTCCTCCTTGAGCCTCCTGTGACTCCTGAAAAATTGCTCTGAACGCTAGCAGACCCTCAGAGTGATATGAGTGGCATCACAGCAGGGGCTAGGGGATGGAGGAATTGTAAGGGAGCCTAATGGATCCCCATGCCTTTTGTGAATAGAAGGAGCCTGTCACATTCATGGAATTACCAATCCAGATCTGGATCTTTCCTCTTTGTGTTAGAATCTATTCAAAAGGGAAAGAATGATTGTTTAGCAGTTCTGATGACCTGAGTGAATCTGTCATTATTGTAAGCTGTCCAGAGATTGTAAGTCCTCCTGCGATGCCATGCATAAGGGATGGCATACAAAAGTTTTAAATAAATAAATAAATGGGGTCTAGAATAATTTGGAAAATACAGGAATGCTAACACTAACCCTTTTATTTGGTAGAACATTGAGAACTAATGTAAAAGCTCAATGTTTTGATGATGATATGCATATTTTGTAGGTACATCAGACTCCAAAATGACCTGTGTGCGTTGCTCATTTCGGACTTAAATAATCCAGATGGTAGCCCTTGTGCATTGTCTTCCGAGGGAGAGGATGACTCTGAAGAAGACACTGATGAAGATGAAGATTCTGGAGCAGAAATTGAAGACGACCAAGAAGGATATGATGATGAATGTGGTGACTATGATGAGGATCTTGATGACCCTGACAGTGAACTGGAAGAGTTAGGAGATAAAGAGGAGACAAGGAAGAGGAATTGTACAGAAAAGCAGGTACATCCACTTTTGATTTAGTTGAACAATGATAATGGCCGGGTATAAACTGATATTTATAGGGTTCAGAGAACAGAAAATCACCTTGCTACTGTTTGGGAGCATTTTTGACCTACAATAATACTGTATCTAAGATAAGCAATACTGCTGTTATGGTTTACAGTCAGCAAGGTAGAATGCAGAAAATGTAATCCAGTAGTGATATTCCCCCCATCTCTCTGGCCACTTGCAAACCAGGACCATTTCACTGTTGCAGCAAAGACAAAGTTTCGCATCTGTTAAAGAGAGCATTATTTTCATGTGTGCCTTTTCTAAACCACTTGATATATGAATACTCCTCTGCAGTTCCAGAATTTAGGTTACATTCTGTCTTGTATAGAACTGACAATGAGTCTGTCGCTTTCAGTGTTCCTTGTATATTTTTTTCCTTAGGGAATGTAGTAGTTTTATATATAAGCTCGTAATGCTTTTCTAAAACATTTTGTTGTCTTCTTCCAGTCTGCAGCTGCACTTTGTATTGGTGTTGGCAGTTTCTCTGACCCTGAAGATCTGCCTGGGCTGGCACATTTTCTGGAACACAGTATGTTTTTGTTTGTTTCATCTTTCTTTGCATTTACCAAAAAGTTGCTGTTGTGTAGCTTTGCATCTGTTATATATATTTTTACATGGGCTCAAGAATTCAAGCATAATAACATCCCAGTTGCATATATGCAACATTAAATATTGCATGTTGCTAGTATGGATACCTATAATACCCTTAAAAAACCAAACAGTTTCTACAGCTTATGTGGAACTAGCTTAGGTTGAACTCTCTATTCTGCGGTAATCTCACCACTAACACTAAATGTAGATGAGTGCTTCTTACTGGGGCATTCCTAAATCACACCTCACCACAGGAAGGTGTATTTAATATACACATCTTTGCTTAGGTAGCTGGTCATTAGGAATGAAGCAAACAGAGGTATGAGGAATATAAACAGTGATAGCCAGGCTTAGTAGTTAAGAGTGCTGGACTGGGACTCAGGAGATCTAGGTGCTAGTCCCCACTGGGTGACTTTGGTCCAGTCACACATTCTTAGCCTACCTACCTCACATGGTTGTTGTGGTGAAGATAAAATGAAGGGGAGGAGAACTATGAAAGCTGCTTTGGGTTCCCTCCAAGAAGAAGAAAGGTGAGATATACATGTAGTGTTACAACAAAAACAACAACAATTTTTATTAAAGGTATAAATCTTATTATTTAAGGTTTGTTAACTTTATTAACACATTTTCTATACTGTTGTTTTAAAAACAGAGCATCTATATTATTATTGTTATCATCAGTCAGGTATTAGAAGTTCCAGTTCCTAACCCTAACCAAATTTAAGCCAATTCGCTTATCAAACTCCACCCCTTATAACTGATAGGCCTAGCAACAAGGACTTGAGAAGCAGTCCTTTCTCTGATCAGGACTTATACCCACCTGGAACTTTTAAGGCTGTTTACCAGGTTCCCTTGAAGTCTTAAGTCTCATCCAGTGGCTGTTCTTTCTTCAGATCACTGCCATCAACTGATAGTCAGGCTTCTGCTCCTTCCTCAGAAGGCAGCTCCAGGAGTCTTCCTTTCCTCATCTGTGGACCTTCTTCAGCTTCTGCCGCACATGCTCCCAGCCTTCAGATTGGCTTTCTGGTGTTGCAGCTACTCATCTTCTTGGCTGATTTCTTCCTCAGACTTTACAGCATCTCACCAATCCACCTCCTAATGACTCTTCTTCAGGCAAACCTCTCCCAGGCAAACTCCTAGACATCAAGTAGCTCCTTATATTTGCTCCAGTCAAAATCCTTCACCCAATAAGCTTTGGTGTATTGCCTCTTATTACCTCTGTTTAAATTTAAGACCAATGGGTATCTTTAGAATATTCAGTTATTCCCCAATCCGATGGTACCAGTTTTGATCTTCTCTTCCCTTATCAAAGAAACAACTCCTCATTCCCCTCTTAGTGGTATCAGTAACTGTCACTCCATCACCACACTATACCTACATTGCTTAAGCCTTCAGTGAAAGTCATATATTTTTCTCTCTCATTGTTGATGTTTGCAGTCCTTCAGTCTTTGAAACAAAACATAAATTAAAAATTTCTTAGTTTTGCTTCAGTTATTTTACACAGACCTTCAAACCATTTGATCTCAAAACAGGAATTTACCAAAGAAATGCGGATAAGTATTTCAGCTGTTTCTGTTCCACATTCCCAAACTGCATTTAGGAAATTTCAAGAGTGGTTTGACGTTTACTGCAAAACAAAAAAAATGTTTATTTATTTATTTAATTAAAGTGTTTATATGCCATCCCCTTGCTATATAGCCTTGGGACGGCTCACAGAAATAAATAAATACAATACAAATAACAAATTACAATTAAAATTCGGAAACACCCTGGCTGCACAATTAAAACCTATAAATATTAAACATTGTTAAAATATTGTTTGAATAAAAAGGTCTTGGCCTGGCGCCGAAAAACAAATAACAACGGCGCCAGGCGGACCTCTCTGGGGAGTGCATTCCATGGATGGGGCGCCACTACAGAGAAAGCCCTCCTCCGGATACTTTGCTTCCTGATATCTCTCACGGAAGGCTCCCGGAGGAGAGCCTCTGCTGCTGATCTCAAGGGGCGGGAGGGCAAATATGGACGCAGGCGTTCCTTTAGGTACCTGTATCTGCCCATCTCTTTGAATAGTATCTTATGGCTGCACTCAACCAAGGTCAGTGGGGGTTACTTCTAAACATACATGTCTAAGGTTGTACAGTATATACAACCTTAGTACTCTAGTGGAAGAGGTCTATATATTTAAAATAAAGACATTTTCATTACACCATTCTATGAATTTGTGAAAATGTGCTTGCTGGGTTCAACAGCAAGGTTAGTTTATTTGCATTTGTGCTTTTGAGCAAGTCTTACTGACTGGAATGCCATGTCACTAAGATTCAGTACTGAATCTTTCTATTGTTGTATTTAACATTTGTGGTTAGTGCTTAATATTGGATTTGCTTATAAATCATTTGGTAATACATTTTATAACCATATTCTAAGATTGTGTTCATCTAGCAGGGGGAAGACTTTCAGATATCTTGACCCCAAACCATTTAGGCAGGGGTGTACAATTTTTGGTTCCAGTGGTTGCTTGCAGTGATTCAGATTATTGTTTTCTTGCTGCTAATAGTACAGCAAAGCTTTCTCACTATCTCACAGCTATTCTGCTCTGGATTACTGTTTATGAGCTGCTTTTTCCAAGTAAGTAGCTGATTTTTCAGGCAAGGGGAAAAGTGTGCAGGGTACTCTGAGGCTCTGTAGGTTGCTCGTTTATTTCTTACAACTTTATAGAGATGAGCTAGCACTTTACATTTGGCATTGAAATAAATTGTAAACAATTGATCTAAAGCCAGTGTAGTATTCTTTGTAAAAGTCACACCAAAAAACAATCTGGCTTGTTTGCACTATCTTCAGTTTTTGAGCATTCTTCAGGAGCAGTTCCATGTAGGGCACATTACAGCAATCTAAAAAAGGAAGTGATTAAGGACGTGCTTCTGTGTATGGTAGCTGGTGAATGCTTGCAGTCACAGGACTTTTTCTGTCTAAACATATATAGGATTGTGCCTAGGGTATATATCACTAATCAGAGAGATCTGCCTCCTTCGGGAAGGAAAGCAAATAGTATATCAACCAAAACTGGACAAAGGCAATACCAAGCATAGCAGCCAGCTATACATCTAAGATCCGTGTTGGATCCAGAAGAGCCCAAAGTTGTAAACTACTTCCTTTGGATGGAATGGATCCACTTCCAGAACAAGTTGTACTTCCAATCCCAGATTAGCTGGTCTACTTATCATTAGAATCTTTGTTGGGTCGCAACTGAGTATCATTTTGTTAGCCAACATCCAATCCATTGCTGTATCTAGGCGATGGTTATCTTGAGCAAAGTGATCCAGTTCATCCTAAAACCTTGGATGACCTCTCCTAGTGAATTCACACAAGTGGTAACAAGCAAAGGAAAGAAAATAGAGCCCTGTAGAATCCCATAGACCCACCTTTCCCAGCCCAACGTGTTTCAGATCTTTGGGATGATAGCTCCTGACAATTTTTCATGCTGGGACTGATGGGAATTGGAGCCTAAAATATCTGGAGGGTGCTGGGTTGGGGAAGGCTGCTATAGGCCTGCAGTCTAGGGACTGAGCAATAGTCTCCAAGAACCACCTTCTAGGAGTACTCAGCCAGATAGGATCAGAAGAAATGAACACTGTTGATGCAAAGCTGATGAAAAAAATAATCTAATTTCTCTGCCATCCCAGCCATGCAGTGCCCCTTACAGTGTTTGGTTTCATTTTCCCTAAGCCTTTCTCCTACTTTTCATCATTCTAAGCTCATCAGAAAACTGGTGCATTGCTACTTGTTCCACTGACTGACTGACTGACTGACTGACTGTTCTTTATTTGTATTTTCAAATATTTACAATTATCTTCTTAATTCTGATTTTTGTTCTAGTGGTTTTCATGGGCAGTTCAAAATATCCAGATGAGAATGGGTTTGATGCTTTTCTGAAGAAACATGGGGGCAGTGACAATGCTTCAACAGATTGTGAACGGACAATCTTCCAATTTGATGTACAGAGGAAGTACTTCAAGGAAGCTCTTGATAGGTATCTCAGTCAAAAAGGTGGCATTATAGTGGAGTGATACTGCTTCTCTATTTATTACTGAAGGTTCTAATGGAATAATTGTTAAGCTTTGAGTAATTGCTTCAGAAAGTTGGGTGCCTTTGTAAATATGTAAAGACTATCATATTTAAGGTAACAGCTAGTAAATAATTTCCTTAATTAAAATAGGAAATATTTTAGAAAGTCTGTAAGGGAGAATTATATTGAGGATTGAGCATAGCTAGTTGGGGAGTACTGATGGTAGTTGGACTTTTTTCTGTCTAAGCATCAATAAAGTCTCTCTCTCTCTCTCTCTCTCTCTCTCTCTCTCTCTCTCTCTCTCTCATACATGTGAATAAATCAGAGGCACCGTGGTTCCCCTAAAAACACCCAAGGACCTGTAAAAAGTGTTTTAGGGACACCCCTTGTCCACTCTTCCATGTAGGATATCTTAGTTTTTGGGGGGTACTAGAAAGCCTTAACTGTCTCCTTGGTTTTGCAATGTATGCCAAGCATCCTAGAAAATGGTAAAACTTGAGGTGAAATTCCAGTGGGGGTACACAGGGCGAATGATTCCCCAAGTTTTGAAGTGCCCCCCTGCTGCCAGTAGCAGGAAGTCACTGTCAACACTTGGGGTAAACCTGGAGCAGCAGGCCTCCTCCATAGAAACAGAGGGATCACAAAAACAAGTAGTTTCTGACCTGATAGGCTTTCTTAACACATCAGTGATGTGGAAAGGGTAAGGGGATACTTAAACAAAAATAAAGATTGATCATAGGCACCCTCCCTCCCCACCCCAACACACAGGTAGTATTGGGGATCTGTGGGGGCCACATTTTGGGTGTCTCAAAATGACTGGGAAAGGCACGTTCAGTGTTGACTTTCTCAATGCTGCTGTTTTAGGAAAAGTCAAGCTGTCGTCTGTGCTAAATGGCTTGTCATGGTTCAGGGGACATTTTGATACTTTCGCAGTGTTCCCTGAGATAGTGCAGGAGAACCAACAGGGAAAGAGGAGGAGGCACAAAAACCTTGCTGTGCCTGATCATCTAACAAGTCCAGAAGAATTTTAAGCACAGTGTGTGGTTATAATTCCCAAGAAATTTAACATATCGTGCAAACTCTTCCATTGACGTTGTAAAAGTTTCTTGTTTTCTACTGTTACTAATTGTAGACATGTAAGATATAGTTGCAACTCTTTTATATCTGAAAATTAATTTTGTGTCAGCTTCTTAGGTTGTCGGAAAAATGTAAGTTTACAATATCTTTCTGCTTCAGATGGGCACAATTTTTTATTCACCCTTTAATGATCCGGGATGCAATAGATCGAGAAGTTGAGGCTGTAGACAGTGGTAAGAAGTCTGACTTTTCAATTTACATTTAGTTTTTTAATATGTACCTTTGCTTGGTATGAGGTCTGATCAATTAAAAGGGAGAGATGAGTTGAATAGGTTTCTGGTTGCATTATAGTTCCATCTAAAAATGTAATATATTACATCTATAGTCCATCTAAAATTTGACTAGAGACATATAATAGAAAAGTCTGCATGGGCAGTCTGTGGGGGAATTTCCATACAGAAGCTGGTTTCTGTCCTCTGGATTTGGTCTGGTGCATTCAGAAAAGTGCTGCATGTGGTAGAACCACCATGCAGCCAGGGCTGCATCTGAGGTTATCAAAACTAGTTGGCTCTTTCAAAAAACAAAAAACAAACAAAAGAAAAAAACCCACACGAAATGGTTGGCAATCTCAAAGCAAACACCCTGACCATTGCGTGATCCAGAAAAGCTACAGTGCTGTATGCAGGACTCCTTGTCTCAAAGCCTTTTATGGTCTGCTTTGGTTTCCTCTTCCAGAATTCAAAGTTAAATGGTTAAATAGTTTGAGTTAGTCCTTTTGGTTTGTTTTTCCAGTTTTGAGAAAATGAACACTTTCACGAACATGACTTTGTTATATTGCTATAGTCAAGGCTGGGGTTAAAGTCCAGTATTGCCTTGAAAACTGCAAACTTTTTTTAACAGAATATCAGCTTGCAAGGCCATCTGATGCAAACCGAAGAGAAATGTTGTTTGGAAGTCTTGCCAGGTCTGGCCACCCTATGAAGAAATTTTTTTGGGGTATGTTCTGTGTGACCATATAAATGCATAATGTATCAAGACTGACTGAATTCTTAATATGTATCTGTTCAAAAGTAAGTCACTTAGATTTCCGTTGGTCTTACTTTTAGGCTATAGAATTGTAGTCTAAGAAGTGAATGTAGTTCCCATTGCTACATGCTTTAATATTATCCAGCAAAGCAGCTCTTAGTTATTGTCAGGAATCAAATCTTCTTTTACAGAGGCAGTATATCTTTGAATACCTACTGTACCTTGCAGAAGTATTCACCTTCAACTTTTCCACACTTTGTTGTATTACCTAGTATTGAAACAAATTTAATTGGCATTGTTATCATGTGTTTTACACAAGGTACTCAACATTATGAAGATGTAAATCTTTTTATTGTGATGCAAATGTTTTGTAAACCAAAACAATGTGGCACATTTATTTAGCCTGCAGCCCTAGAATAAATCAGTGTAAGGAATGCTAAAGTGAAATGTAGCTTTGGGCTGGGAGAAGCAACGTGTTGGGCTCCACGTGTGTTGGATTCCATCTTTCAACAGGCCCATTCAGCATGGGCAAATAAGGAAGTTGTCATCCAAAACATCTAAAGGGCATCAGGTTGCCTACTAATGGCTTTCAGTTATAGATACTGCAGAATAGGGAAACCTGTTCAAACTAGTTTGCTGCAGTGAGAAGATGATCCAACCTTTAGCCACAAGCTGTTTACACATGCTTCTTCCTTAGCCTTGTATAAAGAGATTCCCTGCTCTGTTTTGGAGTTCTCTTCATAACTGTTTATTCTGTTGTTGTTCCGTACAGTTTGTTCCAGGAAGCAGGGCAGGGAAGCATGGTGGGCTGGTAGGTAGTTATGGCTGGCATTTGCTGAGGACAGCAGGGGCCCATAAACAAGAACCTCCTGAATTTGCTGCTCTGCTTCAGTGTTGCAACCTCCTTCTTCACCTGTCTCTTATTCTGACCGAAGCAGTGGTGTGAATGAAGAAGAGAAGTAGGAGGCCTTACTACCCACTTGCCTACCGTTTGTCAAGCAACAAGTGATAGTAATGAAGTGAAAGAAGATGAGGAGCAATATCAGCTAGTGAAAACTGTGGTGTGGAAGTAGATTCACTTATGCTCGTGGAGGGTACTTCGCACAAAGAACCTCAAAAACATTGAGCTAGCACTATGAGTTGAGGCCTCTTTCTCCTTACTGCTTAAAATAGCTGTTTCTGGAATGTAGAAGCAAAGGAGGGAAATGGGTTTGACAGCCTGACAAGCTAGACAAAATACTTCCTTTTGTCAGTGTTAGTGCTATGTTTGTCAGTACAGCAGACATTCTCCATGAGTTTTGCCTTGCAATTTTTAGTTTTAGATATAACTAATGGGGATGCAGTGCATATGTGCATGCATGAGAAGTTATTTTCCCATTGACTTTGAATTTCAAGAGGCTTCTCTGTTTTAGAGGTTGGCAAAGGATAAGTGTAAGACCTTTTGAGGAAAAGTGTAAGAATTTTACACAGTGTTATTTAATCTTTATTTGATCTTTACAATCTTGCCTGAAACCAGGCATCAGCACAAAATGGCTGAGAATATAAAATGAGCAAAATACAAACATGTATATGAAAAAAGGGGAAAAACATACAGTTACACAGTAACAAGTAAGAGACTCATACTACAGGGTTGGAAAGACACAGTGGTACCTTGGTTCATGAACTTAATCCATTCCACAACTCTGGTCGTGACCTGAATTGGTTGCGAACCAAGTCAAATTTCCCCATAAGATTCAATGTAAATAAGGTTAATCCGTTCTGAACCATAACTTTATGTTATACATAAAGGACGGCATATAAAAGTTTTAAATAAATTAATACATTTTTTTTAAACCTCAAAAATATGAGCCACAACCTGGGCTGCAGGCCAAGCAGCGGCTGCCTCTCCGAGCCCAGTGACGGACGGGCCAAGGTGGAGTGGGAGCGGGGCCATGGCTCTTGCACCTCTGCCACGGCCTTCTCAGGGCAAGCCGCCGCCACCGAGCGCCCACCATGCATCTAACCCCCATGGCTGTGGCCCTGTCCCTCGCCTCCCCTCACCTCAGTCCATGGAAAGCAGTCCTTACCTCCCTCCTCACGGCCCTCTCACGGCCGGGGGAGCCACCCCATGCTCGCTTCTCCGGCCTCCTGCTCCTGCTCCTGCTCCTCCTGTGAGGGGACCTTACTCCACCTCGGAAGCCGGGTGCTGGTGAGGAGCCAGGAAAGCCTCGACCAAGGTGAGTGCATCCTAATGGCTCCCCCTCATGGTGGGAGGGGAGAAGATTATTGTTTGGAGTGTTCGTGTGAGGAACATGGCTGCGATCATGGTCCTCACCCGATGTGGAGTTCATGAACAGAGGCAAAATTTTACCAAAATTTCTATTCGTGACCCAATTTGGTTATGAACTGAGGCATTTGTGAACCGAGATACCACTGTATCTCCCTCTGTCACACAATGGATTGAGGACTTCACAACATTGGTATTCTGTGGGGAAATATATTACCAATGAAAACTTCATTTTAACACTCAACTTGACATTCTTCCTCAACCTATATTAGTGATGTGAAACAGGAACTTTGAGTATATATGCATGGTGTGTGTGTGCATGTGTATACACATATATATTATTAGTAATACTCTTGGGATCAGTTTAATGCATCTCTGATAGTTAAACACAATGTTTTATGAACATTCTTTTATTTTGGATGCTGTTTACAGGTAATGCAGACACTCTGAAACATGAACCAAAACAAAACAACATTGATACCTATACCAGACTGAGGGAATTCTGGCAGCGCTATTACTCCGCTCACTATATGACTTTAGTTGTGCAGTCTAAAGGTAATGTCTGCTCTTTTAAAAAACTGATGTCTACTGTGGTGTATTGCATTGTATAGGCTGCTGTCCTGCATACACTAGCCTGGGTGGTGGTAATTAATCTCTTTTTCTCAGTAAGGTGGGCAAATTGCCTCTGCACTCAACCTCTCTCCTTCAGCTACACTCTAAAATGTAATCCACGTGCCAGATTGCAAGGACAGTTGATGTATACTGGGCAAACTGAGCTTTCAGGTGTTATAGTACTTGTAGACAGTTGATCAACAGGTTTGAACATCACCATTCTGAGAAGATTTTTCTAGCCTTCCATGTGTTGAGTTTTGCATTGCTTTTCTCTGCCCTGCCACTTAGAAACCCTGGATACCCTGGAAAAATGGGTCACTGAAATCTTCTCAGAGATCCCAAACAAGTAAGTCTCTTTTTCTTGCATTTACAATGTGAAATTTTGCACTCCATTTTGCATGCAAGTCATTATATTCAAAGGAAGTCCAACCACAAAGATCATGTTATAGTCACAGCTTTTTGTTTCTTGCCCCTTTCCCTTCGTCCCTGTACTGCTGCTTTACTTGCTGTTCCCCTTGCCACTGCCCTAATGTCTGTGGGAAGGAAAGAGCAATCATACAGGAGCCAAGTTAGGATATGTGAGGAATCTGTTTTAGGGGAGGGAATCTGTGAGATTCCCTGAGCTCAGCTCTCCAGACTGCAGTCCACTTGGTTGCAGCTCTGAGCGAGCTCCTGGTGAATGCACCAGCTTTCATGGGTCACTTGCTAGGAACCAAGCCCCACGTGCTGCACAGGCAGCGTTCCTCTTCCGTGCCACGTGTAGTAGCTTTTGATTGTGCTGCCACGTGTGACATGGAAGGCTGCTGGTTGTGCAACCTTTGTTCTGTGCATATTGTGGACTTCCTCTTGGCTCAGCTGGCTTTCTAAAACCAGGTTGATCACAAGAGGAAGTCTATAAACAATAGAGGGACAGATTCTGTTGAATTTCATCCTGCCTCCAAGTGAAGTATGGAATTTTCCGTGGGCAAAATTGAGCACAAAGAATTGGAGAAGCACATTTTGTATAGCTGTAAAAAAGCAATCTTGCTTATTTATTTATTTATATTGTGAAAACTAAGTAGCATTTTATTTGATAGCAGCACATAACACAGAGGTCAGGAGAAACCTAGAGTCAATCTGGCATTACTTGTTCATCATTACAATACATGTTGCAATGTTTCTCTGGATTCTGTCTAATGAATAGCCGGTCTGTGTGTTGGTTGCTGCCTGTGTTCTTAGATACACTCTGTTTATGATAAGCACAGGTTTAATAAGACAAGTATATTTGATGCTAGAATGCTGTAAGTTAGGCTTCTTTGTGTACAGTGCAGACATGGTGCTTGTTGACTTCAGCTGGTTTTCAAATACTGGTTTTGTGATTTTTAATGTTTGGAGGGGGGTTTGTCTGAGCATGATACTTAAAAGGCATATTTGTATCTAAGAGCAATATAAAGAACCCTCTCATTTTTGCCTTAAATTTTAGTTTGCAGGCAGGATTGGATCAGTGCCTTACTTTTAAGGCACAGTTTCTTATTTGTAGAAACTGTGGGTTGGAAACAATGTATCTGTCTTCATTTTCCCCTTCAAATTTTGTGTAGTTCTGAGTAATTAATAGTGAGCCTGATACAAAGATTTTTGTTTATAGCCAAAACAGCAATGCCATATTTGGCAATTAAAAGACTAGCACATGTACAATCCAGTACACTTTTTGTGAATATTCACTTCTGCTCCTCTGGAAAATGCTTGAGCAACAGTTCATGTGCATATTACTATAAATAAGTTTCTTTCTGCCAAATACATGGTGGTATGATCACCTGTGATAAGTGGAATCTGGAATTAGATTCTTCTCCCACAACAGATGATCAGTAAGTGCTGGCTGTGGTAGGCTATATCCAGAAAAAACAATTCATGTATGAGAATATGATCTTAGGATTGCCCTTGCTGGGCTAGGATGATAGTGCATAATTTTTCTTTTTGTTTTTAAAGTCATTTACCGAGACCAGTGTTTAGCCACCTGACCGAACCTTTTGATACACCTGATTTTCACAAACTTTACAGAGGTGAGTAACCAGAATGGGCAGTTCCCGGAGTGCTAACTGCACTGAATTCATGTTGTATTTTTAACATGGCAATTAAAAATAGTCTGTCTTTTGTACCTTTTCTTTTGAAATAATTATGATGAGAATGTTGATTAATCATGCTTTTACATTTACAGTTGATTTTCTTTAATATTTAGTTGTTCCAATCAGAAAAACTCACTCTCTGAATATCACTTGGGCTCTTCCTCCACAAGAACAACATTATAGGTAAGTTACATGTCTTGCTATGATGGAATCTCTCATATGGATATGATAAAACTGATTTTATTTCACCAAATTTACAGTGGGGAGGTTCAGATGTGATGACAGCACATTGGTAAATCACTGTGATGAGTTGCCGTTAAGTGCCAATGAACCTGATGCATGACCAAGCTCATCATGGTTGCCTTCCCCCTTATTCCTTATCTCCTACTTATACCTGATGGTATGCCATGAACACTATGGAAAGTAATGAGGCTCTTCTCTTTGACAGCCAGAATTGTGAGTCCAGCTCACTGTGGCTGTCAGTCTCTACTGCATACACAGGACTCATGTGACACAGCAGAGAGGATGGGGAGCTGAGCAGGCAATCTCACCTTCTACTGCAGAGGAGACCTCTTAAACAAGAAGGAGGGAAGCTTGACCTACTCTAAGGCTCAAGAAGGATTATCAGTTGGGAAGAGCTGCCTCATATGGGGTGGGAGGTGGAATGAACTGGGACACCTATGACAGCTGTGCCAAACTGGGGTTCATTTTATCTGGCTAGCAGTTTGGCAAAAACAGCAACAGCTGCTCTTGCCACGTGGCTCACTTGTTCTGGGGCTTCACAACCCAATTGGTGGGTTGTGTTATTTGATCTGGATGATACCATAAGTAATTGTTATAGGGCGAAAATATGGAATTGGCCATTGTGACTTAGAGTTGACAATCATAGTAAGTCACAATGGTCAGTCACCATGACTGGGGTAATGCAAAACAACAAGCAACTGTGTTTTTTTTATCATTCTAACATGCATGTCATGTTGTGCGAACCCATTCAGTGTGATCCTATACATGTCTACTCTAAAGTAAATCTTTTTGATTTCCATCAGGCTTGCTCTTGGGTAAGTGCATACAGGATTGCAGCCTAAATTGTTGGTATAGAATAAATTGGTAGATATTTCCACTGATGCCACCCAAACTTGGGTGGAATAGCAAGCACCCTAGAAGAGAGAATGAAAGCCAAGGCAATCTTGATAAACTTGAACGCTTGGCTGAAAGCAACAGAATGAGATTCAATAGGGACAAGTGCCAAGTCCTCCGCCTAGGAAAAAGAAACCAAATACATCAATAGAAGAAGAGGAATACGTGGCTTGACAAAACTAGAGAAGAGAATGGCCTTGGAGTAATTGTGGACAACAGGCTAAATAAGTGTTGTGAGTGTCGACTCACAATATAAATAACCCCACACTTTCGCGGGCAATAAAACTAAAGTCTTTTATTGCTACTTATCCACAAGATTTACAACGCTACAGATAAGCTCTACTGCAATGGTCTTTACAAGGCAGTTGCTAACTCCTTAGTGACGTCCCTCAGGGAACCCACGTGGGGCTAGCTTTCTTTGTCCCACCTTTCCCCCCTGAGGTGGGACAAAGCCTCCTCTGCTCCAATCGGCGCAAGGAACGTCTAAGAGTCGCGCGGGACAAATCTATCCCGCCTCCTGTGTCTTCTGTGTCATGTTCAGGAGATTCAACGTCAGGAGGAAGGGGGACAGCCTGCCCATGCTCTTCATGAGCAGAACTTGTAGTGCCTTTTCCCTCGGGGCCCTCGTGGTCTGACAGAGGCTTGGCTGTTTGCCCAAGGGGTAAAGGGTCAGGATGAGGGATGGCTATCTGTTCAGCTATTCCCAAGCCAGGTTGTGGAAGGGTCACTTGGCCACAGGGTCTCAAGCATAAATCCTCCTGTTCTGATGTCTGATTCTCTCCTTGGGTGTTTGACTTTTCCTTGTGAGGTGCTGCCTCTGTCGGGGCATCAGGCACAACACTACCCCCCCTCCACGACCTCTCCCTCCTCATTGGTGACGGAGATGGGTGCCCCCTGGCTTATGCAGGAAACGGGAGTGGAATTGTTTCAGGAGGATGGGCACATGAATGTTGGCAATGGGCTCCCAACTGCAGTCCTCAGGGGGGTAGCCTTTCCAGTGCACTAGATATTGCAGACGTCCCCTCCAAAATCTAGAGTCGAGGATTTCTTCAATTTCAAATTCTTCCTCTCCATTGACTATTATGGGTGGGGGTGGTGGAAGTTGAGAGTGGAGGGGGTGTTGCTGTGGGGCAGGAGAAAGTAGTGCCCGGTGGAAGACCGGGAGGACTCTCATGGAGGGGGGTAAAGCCAGTCTGAAGGTGACGGGGTTGATTTGTGAGACGATATGGAATGGTCCAGCGCGTTTGTGGGCTAATTTGCGGGAGGGCACAGAAAGGGGAAGAAATTCGGTGGACAACCAGACCCAGTCGCCGACATGCAGAGGAGGTCCGGGCTGTCTGTCTCGATCAACGACTTCCTTGTAGATTGTCTTGGCCTTGTCCAATTGTTGTTTGAGTACGGATTGTATTGAGGCCAAGTTGTGCAGGAAATTTCTGGCAGCAGGGATGGACGACGTTGGAAGTGCTGAAGGAAAGGCTTGAGGATGGTAGCCAAGGTTTGCGAAGAAAGGTGTTTGACGGGTAGAGGCGTGGATGGAGTTGTTGTACGCGAACTTTGCCAACGGGAAGAAAGAGAGCCAGTCGTCCTGTTGATAGTTCACATAGCAGCGGAGGTATTGTTTGAGTGTTGTGTTGAGACGTTCCGTTTGCCCATCAGTTTGTGGGTGGTGAGCTGAAGAGAGGCGCAGGTCGACCTTGAGCAAGGTCAAGAGTTCCCGCCAAAATCGGGATGTGAACTGACTGCCCCTGTCGGTAATTAAAGCGAGGGGCCACCTGTGTGCCTTATAAATATGATGGACGAATAGGGAAGCGGTGGTCTTGGCTGAGGGAAGCCCTGTGCAGGGGATAAAGTGGGTCATCTTCATGAATAGGCCTGTGACGACCAGTATAGTGTTGAAGCCACTTGATCTGGACAAATCAGTAACGAAGTCCATTGAAATGGTGTGCCAGGGCCCGGGGGGGAGGTTTCCACTGGGTGGAGTAGTCCTGGGGGTTTTCCTGGTTGGCGTTTGGCGTGTTGGCAAGTGGGGCAGGAGAGGACGTACGATTTGATGTCATACATGCGGGGCCACCAATAGTCTCTGGAGAGGGTGTGCAGTGTTTTGTAGACCCCAGAATGTCCCGCAGATGGGGAGTCGTGGCATTGCTGTAGTATTCGTTCTCGGAGTGGTAACAGAACATACGGAACATGGTTGTAGAGTAGGATGTTGTCCTCAAATGAGTAGGCGGCAGGAAGGGTGGCCGTCCTCCTCTGTTCCCTCTTTGTCCGGACAAAGGGGTCAGCTTGTTGGGCTTGGCGGAGTTCAGCATTGCAGGAGGTGGAGATAGTCGCTGCAGCTGCCATTTCAGGTTGCAGAATAGGGGTTGGGTCGGGCTGCACTTTGTTGTCGGCGAAGTATTCGGGTTTCCTGGACAGAGCGTCAGCCAGGAGGTTTTTTGAAGGGGGGATGTATTCGATGCAAAAGTGAAAGCGGGCAAAGAATAGGGCCCATCGTGCTTGCCTTTGGTTGAGTATTTTGGCGGAAGCAAAATGGACTAGGTTCTTGTGATCCATTTGGATGAGGACCGTGTGTGGGGAACCTTCAAGCAAATGTCGCCATTCTTCTAAGGCAGCTTTGATTGCTAACAGTTCCTTCTCCCAAATCGTGTAGTTCCACTCTGGACTTGAGAGTTTGCGAGAATAGAAAGCCACCGGTCTGAGGTCAGTGGCGGCCCCATTTTGTGGTTGTAGGAGAACCACTCCAATGGCTTTGTCGGAGGCATCAGTTTGTAGTATGAAAGGTGTGGATGTATCGGGATGGATCAGTTGGTGTTCTGAAGTGAATTGGCATTTCAAAGTGTCGAAGGCGGGTGCGGCGTTGGGTGGCCAATTCAGGCGGCGTCCTCTGTCTTTCAAAAGGTCTGTCAATGGCACAGTTAAGCGTGAGAAGTGCAGTATGAACCGATGATAGAAGTTCGTGAATCCCAAGAACTTTTGTAGTTCTCTTTTCGTCCGTGGCAGTTGCCAGGATAGAACTGCTCACACCTTTTCAGGGTCCATCTGCAGCCCGTCTGGGGAAATGCGGTAGCCAAGGTACAGGAGGGAGGTGGTGTGGAATTCGCATTTTTCCAGTTTAGCAGAGAGGCGATGCTCTCGTGTGCGTTGTAGGATGGCTTGCACATGACGTTTGTGAGACTCAGGGTCATTGGAAAAGATCAACAAATCATCCAGGTAGGCGATCGTCGAGAAAATCGTGGAAGATCTCGTTAATCAATCTGCAAAACGATTGTCCCAAGTTCACAAGTCCAAAAGGCATTACTAAAAATTTGAAGGTGCCAAATCTAGTCAAAAACACGGTTAGATGTTCATAGCCAGGGCGGATGCGCAGCAAATTGTAGGTGTTGCGGAGGTCCAGTTTGGTAAAAATGTGCGCTCGGCCCAGGCGTTCCAAAATCTTTGAGATTAGTGGCATGGAGTGCGTGTTGGGAACGGTGATTGTGTTCAATCGGCGGTAGTCAATACAAACTCTAGGTTCCTCAGAATTTTTTCAAGGCACGATGATGGGCGTCGCTGAAGTGGGTGATGAGGATGGACGGATGAAGCCCTTTTTTAAATTGGTGGATATGAAGTCTTTGAGTTCTTTAGGTGACATGGGTCATAGTTTGCCGACTGGGAGGGTTGCTCCTGGTTGTATGTGGATCTCCATGTCACATGAGCGGTGAGGGGGCAGCTTGTCTGCCTCTTGTGGGTCAAAGACGTCCCAGAAGTCTTGGTATTGTGGAGGGAGGGTGGTGGTGGAAGGCGTGGGGGAGGTAAGAGGAGTGTGGGCTGTAGGATCACTGCAGTGCAGTGAACAAAATGTGGAATTGAAATGTATTTGCCCCAAGTTCCAAGATATCTGGGGCTTGTGTCTGATCAACCAGTCCATGCCAAATACCACGGGGTACTGTAGGTCTTTCACTAATAAAAAAGCTGTTTGTTCGCAGTGTTTGCCAATTTGTAGAGTGAGGGGGGAGGATTGGCGGGATGAGGGGCCCCCTTGCAGGGGATGTTTCTGGATAGAGTCCACCTGCAGCGGGGTTGGTAGTATTGACATAGGAAAACAGTGTTTCTCAGCAATTCTTCATCCATGAAGAAAGCAGTAGCACCATTATCAATCAGTGCTGTGGCTCGAATTGCAGGCTGTGGGTGTGCTTGCAAAGTGGCATTGACCAGCAGGTGTCGGATCGTAGGAGTTTTTCCTGGGGAGAGGGCACCCTTGTGATTTATGGACAGGTCCCAGTATCGTGGTGCTTAACGACGCTGGGACTGGAAGTTTCCCACCTGCTTTCTCAAAGGACACGACCGGGCTAGATGGCTGTTATGTCCACAAATAAAACACGGTCCGTTTGGGTGGTGATAGGCCCTATCTCCCCTTGGAATGCGAGGCCCGGCAGCTCCCAGCTGCATTGGCTCAGGTTCCAGCTGCGGCTGAGGTGTTGCCGTGGCAATGTAGTTATCAGGTGGGAATTGTTGGGGTCTGGCTTCCGCGCATGGGAACCATCTTTCTTTAGTTGGTGGCAGGCCAGCACGGTGTTCCTGCTTAGCTCGGGCCCTCTCATTAAGCCGTTCATCAATCTGTATTGTCAGAAGCATCAACTGCTGCAAAGTTGCTGGCATTGATGTGTGTGCTAAATCATCCAAAACCTCCTCCCTCGAGCCTTCTTGATATTGCACCATTAAGGCCTCCTCATTCCACCCCAAGTCATTCATAAGGAGTTGGAATTTAGTAGTGTATTCAGTAACTGAGGCATGCCCCTGTTTAAGACGCTTTATCTTGCGGATGGCCATTTCCTTGCAAGATTCTATGCCAAGGAACTTTCCCAAGGCAACCATAAACATTTTTGTGTCATTTAATATGGGGTCTTGAGCTATCAGCATTGCAGTTGCCCAGCGGGCTGGGGCCCCCGTGAGTTGATTTATCAAAAAGCCTACCTTCAGCTTGTCATCGGTGAAGTCATTAAGGCGTAGGTTAATGTAGAGTTCACATTGTGCTTTGAAAGTCATAAATTCTTCTTTCTTCCCGTCCTATTTGGGCGGGGGGGCTCCACCGGGCATCGTTTTAAAGTCAGCTCTTGGGTTTGTGTGGGAGCTGCTGCTGTTTACTGCTTAGCACGGAAGTTATCCAGTTCAATTTTATTATTATTATTATTATTATTATTATTATTATTATTATTATAACATTTCTATGCCGCCCCTTGCCGAAACCTCGGGGCGGCTTACAACATGATAAAATACATTGAAATACAATAGTACATAAATTTGCATAGATTCCATTTGCTGTGTTGTCTCCGCATATTTCTTTCGCAGAAGGGCGTTTTCATCTCTGGAGTATAAACCCTCCTGTTCTGATGTCTGATTCTCTCTTTGGGTGTTTGACTTTTCCTCGTGAGGTGCTGCCTCTGTCGGGGCATCAGGCACGACAATAAGAGACGACAATATGATGCAGCCACCAAAATGCCAAATGCTATTTTGGGATACGTTAATAGAAGTATTACTTGCAAATCATGAGAAGTAGTAGTTCCTCTATACTCCTCACTAGTCAGACCCCATCTAGAATACTGTGTCAAGTTCTGGGTATGAAGATTTAAGAAAGATGCAGGAAAATTAGAAAGGGTCTAGAGGAGAGCAACAAAAACAAACCAGGGTTTGGAAACACTGCCCTATGAGGAGAGACTGAGAGAACTGGGCATGTTCAGCCTTGAGAAGAGAAGACTGAGGGGGGACATGATATCCCTCTACAAGTATCTCAAAGGCTGTCACAAAGAGGAAGGTCAAGATCTCACTTATACCAGAGTGTAGGACATGGAATAATCAAGTCAGTCTGTGACAGCCCAGATTCAGGCTAGATATCAGCAAACATTTCCTCACTGTCAGAGCAATATGACAGTGGAACCAGTTGCCTAGAGACCCCTCCCTCTCTAGACATTCAAAAAGAAACTGGACTGTCATCTGAATGAGAGGATGTAAATTGGTGTCCTGTGACAGGAGGGGGTTTGGTCCAATGGCCTTCATGGCCCCTTCATGGCCCCTTCTATGATTTGTATAATTGCATCCTATATACTTAATTGATTTATACTCTCTCTCTGAATATTCAAAGAGTCTACTTATGGTTGAAGTCATAGGTTGTGTTTGTAACATGGGGATTCTCAAGTCCCCGTACTCAGCATGCTTGTTCTACTTTCTAATTCACAGAATGGCTGGAAATTAAGATAATCAAGGTATATTTTATGGCCTCTCCCTCTCTCTTTCTTTTTCTTCTTAGGGTGAAGCCACTTCATTATATTTCCTGGCTCATTGGACATGAAGGCAAAGGCAGTGTTCTTTCATTTCTTAGGAAAAGGTATATACTCAGACAGTGCAACTTACTGCCATTGGCAATTACAAAGGATAAAAGAAGAAATTAAAATATATTAATGCTTAATAGCCACATTGAAAAGAAATTTTTGTAAGGTAGAGAAATATCAGATTCCTCAATGAGTAAGTTAAAGAAAGTCAACCACAAAGCAGCCTGTCAATTCGTACTGCTTACAAACTGTATATAGACATATCTGTTAAATGAGCAAAGGCAATCTGTTGACAGTAGAAACATTACTGTAAATCCCAAATCTACATTTGTACAATATTGTTATTAGGATCACCAAAACATGCAGATTTTCAGATCTTCTGGAACACTTCATCCAGCTGGCTGGTACAGAAAGCAGGAATGGAGGAATAAATAGATTGCAGCAGGATCCCTGTGGATTGGTTGGATTGGTTCCAAGCCCCCCAGCAGATACCTGAAACTGCAAATAATAATGAACACTATATTATATATATTATATACATTTCTTTTTTCACAATTTAGTTCTTACTTCAGCATACAATTTTTTCTTTCCCTATTAAATCAAGAATTTTCACTTGCACAAAGCACCTCATGGCTTCTCTTTTAGGCCAAGTTCAACCATGATTAACTGAAAATGTGGTAACTGAACCAGCAGATAAGGGGGTCCTGCTGCAGTTCAAAAAATAGGCAGATGTGACTTTGAGGTTTGCCATTTAGACCCAATCCCAAGGTGGAGATTTGCAGAATGAATTAATTACTCATTGAGAGGAATTGCAGGCATTAATTTATACCTTGCAATGTATTCTGGGTCTAAGAAATGGGTTCTCTGCCTGATCACTTGTCTCTGAAAGAGTGTAATCAAAGAGTTAATCTCCATTTCTGAAAACAGGCCATTTAGTCTGCAGATTTCCATTATGAGACTGGTTCTAAACTGCAGAACTTATAGATACAATATCTGGCCAGATACTTGGACTTCTCTGTCTCTTTACCCATCTCCTGCCTTTTGTACTGATTCTGAAGAATTTGAAAGCTTATACTCTTCTGTTGTCTTAATAAGGTTATTGTTCAACCGTAGATTTGGATATTGTTTCATGAACCTGCAGAGTTATCTTTATTTTTATTAATAAAAATGTGAATGCTAATACTTAGATTGGATAAGCCCATATAATGGATGGCAGAAACAGTTAAACACTTGATATTAGTATGAGAAGACACACATAGTAATTGCAATATGTTGATAATTACATATCCTCTAGTGACTTGATTTTTATGGAAAATATTAGGAGCAGCATCAATGGTTTGTATCCAGTATTAGGCCTACTTCACATTGAATAAATGTTAAATAAAGCAAAACAATGTGATGTACTAAGTTAAGTCCAGCCTGTCATACATGCCTGCTAGACAACATTTTGAATAGCCCCTTCACAATTTCTTACCCCTGTCCTAAGAATTTTATGATGTGTGAAGATGACAGCAATAGAATTATAGCTCAATAACACTTTCAGTTTAAGCTGGGAGATAAAGCAACTCTTCCCTCACACTGATTGCATTAGTCAATAATGGATAAAGTTGCTTACCTCTGCCTTAAGCTAATTTTCTAAGTTCAGCTGTTTTTTCATTTTGCAAGTAATGATATGTTAAACTTTCCTTTTTTCCATTTTCCCCATTTTTATTTAATTATTTAACAATCTTCTCATTACAACATTTCCAAACAGGTTCTGGGCACTTGCATTGTATGGTGGAAATGGTGAGACGGGATTTGAGCAAAACTCCACATACTCCGTCTTCAGTATTTGTGTGACCCTGACAGATGAAGGTTACAAGCATTTCTATGAGGTGAAATTTAGCTGCAGCTTGGAGCTCTTGTTGTTGTTGCTTACTGCAGATTCCCAAAACTTGAAAGTGCTTTGTGTTCCCACTTTCAGATTGCTCATGTTGTATTCCAGTATCTGAAAATGTTGCAGCAAACAGGACCTGACCAAAGGTAAGTGCAGCTTTTCAGCTTGGTTCCAATGAGCAGTTAGTTTCAGTTTCTTGGTATGTCTTTTATTCCTGTATTAGACTCTATATAATAATGGGAGGAAATGGTTGTTAAAAAGAGATGGAAGAATTAGAAGTCACCCTAATAAGCAATCATAGGAAAAAGCAATGAAAATCAGGTAACTAAGAGGCGAATCCGTTCTGTGTTTAGACCGGAAAAACATTCTGCGATTCTAGAAATGAGGAGGAAGGTGGTAGGGAGAGGAAGTGAACAAAGTACCCATGCTGAGTCCAATTGTTTGTTGGGATCATTGTGTGTACTTCACAAAACAAGAAACCCACTATTGCTTGTTGCCAGAATGGGTCATGTGAATTCAGCCACTATGTTATTTGATGTATTAATAGTCATAGTTACTCTATTTGTATACTGTTTTATAAATATTTTACAGTCAAGATGTTTTACAACAAAAAGCATGACGAAACAAAATCATAAATATATAAGTGTACTTTGTTATCCATAGCATCTCACTTTAAAAGACAATTCAGAACAGTTTAATAATAGATCAGTAATAAAATTTGAATATCAGAATAATTAGTTACTAAAAGGAAGACAAAAAAAGCATCCTTTGACCTAGGAAGTGGTAACAGCAGAATCAGGTGCAAAGGCAGAAGGGGTCAATTCTCCGTCCCAAGGGTGGCAGGAATGGGTGATTTTTTTGGCTTTGATGGCAAATGCCAGAGCTCTCCCCACTGGTGTGATGATCGGACTACTCAGAGAATTTTGTTTTAAGTTTTATTTCTGAAAATAGTTTGCTCTTTGATGATTAATTGTATCATCCACAGAATATGGGAAGAAATCCAGAAGATTGAAGCTAATGAATTTCATTACCAAGAACAGGTATTTAGTTTCTCAAATGTCTCTGACACCAAATCTTAACACTTTCTTGTAGATTTGCCTCTTTTTTTTTTTTTTTGCCTTTGCCATGGTCTAACATCTTGTAATTCACCAAGCAGAAATTGCACAAAAAAGTTGGTGGAATTCTTCTGTTCCAGTCTGTTAGCTATGACCTCTTCCACATTATTGCATTCCATTCTACCACCTAGTCTGTTTTCCTTCATAGCTATCACTCAGAAATCTGTGGCCAGTGAACAGGTTCAGCATTCATTGGACTCTTCCCTATATTTTAAGTTTTTTTTCCTAAATATTTCCTTTGTTCTTCAGAGCCTTTGGACTCTTGTGTCTGGATGATATCATTCTAGTTACACATGAGGAAACTAAGAATGTGCATACTGACAAATGTTTTTTTAACAGATTTAAAATCCTGTTCAATTTAATGTCTTTTAATTTTTCATCTGATTTTGATTATAGAGCATATAGAGTGAGCATACCTTCAGGTTTCCTGTAACGCTCTGGCTGGCTAGATCTCAAATGCTGATTTTGTAGTCTTGCTTAGGATGCATTGGAGAAACTTTAATCAGAACCTTAATTCTGATTACTGTTGAGACTTTGAGTGATTTGGATGAACAAATCCTCACTGCTTCACCCTGCACTGACTTCTGCAGTTGGGTTGCATTTAGGAATCAATTGAATTTGGTACAGCAGAAGATGGGCTGTCCTACCATTGCTTATTTGGTAAGCTGCTCAAATCTGGGACTGCTTGACTAGCTGGATTTGATGCTTGGTGTAGCAGCTGCCAAAATCAATGAACCTTTTGTATAGGGGAAATGATGGTTTGGATCCACTCCAAGTTCAGTCAGACATAAGTGTAAAGGGGAGTGTGTAAATGTTCGATACTCAGATCTGAAGTTTAATTACCTTTTTTACAGACTGACCCTGTTGAATATGTTGAGAGTCTTTGTGAAAATATGCAGCTGTTTCCAAAGGAGGACATTCTGACAGGAGACCAACTTCTCTTTGAATACAAGCCAGAGGTAAGTAGGTTTTTAGGTTTTGGTATGTGAGATGATACTGGCTTTAAAGTACATCTGAAGACCTCTGTACCTCAATCTGGTTGAAATCTTTTCTAAATCTTGAAAGCAGCTTCTTCCAGCTCAGGGCAGGGTGGATAAAAATCAATGATAAAATAATAATAATTTAAACGTTGAATTGTTAAATTTAAATTTTTTTAATAAAATGCTTTCTGAGGAAAACATAGTTTTCTATTTAAAAAACATAGTCTAAAGGTTATTCATCATGAAATGAGGATTAGTTTTTAATTATGTAGCATGAGGATGTGTATTCATGCAATGTTTAAATTTCTGGGCAAATGAATTCCATTAATCCTATCACAATATCATGCTTTTATAGAGGTTTGTGTAAGATTATTGGGCAATTTTTCTATCTAAAAGATACTAGATACTTGCTTTTACAGTTCTCAAAACTGTGACTTTATGTCTGCAGAGATCACATTCTTCTTCACAGCAACAATGTTATAAAATAAATAGAGTTAAGAAAAAGAACTTAATCCCATTGTTCTTTTCCAAATCTACAGAATTACAGAATCAATCCCTTACTTCTTAAATGCTAAGTTTAAAAAAAACAATGAATAGAAGAAGATTTTGGGGAGTGGAATAGAGAAGCTAAGTGTGAGGAGGGAGTGGCAAAGCAGTACAAATGAAAGTGAATGCTTTTGAGCAGAATACTACACAAGTCTTTGGCTCTTTTTGTGTATAGCTTGAGATTTCTCATGTTATTCTGTCCCTGGAGGACAAAACCTATAATGGCAGCAGGCTGTAAAAGAGACCCAGTTTGGGAATATTTTAATGATGTTCCTCTACCTACGGGTAAGGCAGGCATGTATACAAATTATGTAGAAAACCATGATTTAATCTTATTGACTAGTGATTTAAATCATGATTTAAACTGATTTGGTTTCTGGCTCAGGGTCGCTTTTTATGGTTTCTATGCTCTGTTTTCAGAATGAAATGACAGATGAAGAGCTGTCATTTTTGAATGAATAGAGAAGCAGGTTGTTTTTAACTTCTTTATCTTTACAGATCATTGCTGAAGCTCTTAACCAGTTGTCTCCTCAGCGAGCCAACCTGATTCTGTTGTCTGCTGCCCACGAAGGCCAGTGTAATCTAAAGGAGAAGTGGTTTGGTACACAATACAGTGTTGAAGGTACATGCAGCTTGAGTCCTGCTGAAGTAAAGAGAGACCACAAAGGCACTGCAGGGTGGTATATTGGAGTGGGACTGCCCTGCAGGTCATTGAGCTTCTGTTTCCAGGAATTAAGGAATCTCTAGACCGGCTGTTCCCAATCTGGTGCCCTCCAGAGGTTTTGGACCTAAATTCCCATTTGCCCAAGTCAACATGATCTGTGGTGTAGTGGTTAAGAGCATGGGACTGGGACTCAGACGATCTGGGTTCTAGTCCCAGCTCAGCCATGGAGCCAATTGGGTGACTTTGGGCCAGTCACAGAGTCTCAGCCCAACCTACCTCACAGGGTTGTTTTGGGGATAAGATGGAGGAGAATGATGTAAGCTGCCTTGAGCCCTTTGAGGAAAAAGGCAGGATATAAATTGAAAAATAGATAGATAGATAGATAGATAGATAGATAGATAGATAGATAGATAGATAGTAAAAATACTGGGAAGTCACCAGGCTGCGGATGGCTACTCTAGACAGTGGAGAAATAGGATCGTATTCAAACCTTTTAGTACTTAGAGTAGAATCAATGTGAGACGTTCCTCGTGATTTAACTTGTTGCCCTGATTTCTGTAGATCTGTTCTAAGCCTGATAAAGTTTGGATCTAACTCATGGAGTTTCTGACATGGGAAATTTGGGGTAACGAACTGTGTAGGAATTTGGATAGCTTATGTGCAGGGTTGGTCTTCAGCTGCCACCATGTGGAAATATAATGCATATCTAGCAGAAGAGGAGGAACAGAGCTGTGCCTTTTCTATGTAGCTCTCTTCAGTTAGGCCTATTGTCCCCAAGACACACTGTTCTGCTGACTACTTTTGATATTCACAGATGTTGATCCATACTGGAGCAATATGTGGGCCAGTGACATCATGTTAAATCCAGACTTACACCTCCCTGAAGAAAACAGATATATTGGTGAGTGGAACATGGTTTCATAAATATGCAGCATATGGTTGAATTGTGTCTACGTAAGCTGCTTCTATTTTAAATTGACAACAAACCAGTTTTAGGGTATAAGTAAAGTAACTGTAATGTTGTATCCCAAAGAATCAGGGCTGATTGGAAATAGTACAATGCTGATAAGACTAGCAATCCACAGCAGATCATAAAAAACTGCCCTGCCACTACTGATTGCATCCTTATACTGATGGTGCAATGCTTCAGCTACTTGCACAGTTCAAGACCATGTAGGTAAGCTAATTAATTTCAGGGAGTTATGTGCTTGTTCTGTTGATCTGTGAATGTGAAATAGTAATTCCTCCTTCTACTATTTTAGCAACTGACTTTGCTCTGAAAGCCCCTGATTGCCCACAGACTGAATATCCAGTCAGTATACTGAGCACTGAGCAAGGCTGTTTGTGGTACAAGAAGGATGACAAATTCAAAATCCCTAAAGGTATTTTAATGCATGTCTTTTATTCAAATTTCTAATTTGTTTCTATCATATAAATAGTGGATATTTTAGCGAGCACTTTTTTCCTTCAGGCTTCTCATATGACTTCCTTTGAAACAAAAACGTTTTACACTGCTATATTATATGGAATCAACACAGAAGTTTAAAATGTGTGTGACTGTTTTGCACAGCTCTTTTCCCAACTGAATCACATATTTAACTTGGCAGATTTAGTGGCTTTTAAAATGTACTTTTTAGTAGTTAAAGCAATACACATTTATACGACCGCTTAATGCATCTTCAAACTCCATTTCCTAAAATGAATTTCTGCCTTTAAACAAATCCAGACAGAATGAAAGGCAACTAAGCAATCTGTTGATACCATAAACCACCATATTGGTTCCATTTTACTGTCTTATCTGGCTTGGCTGTGTTGGTGCCTTGACTTTAGGGAATGAAGACTTGAGGAATTTTATTTGTCATCTAAACGTTTTGAGCTGAGCTTTTTGAAAATTCTAGATAGCATTTCCTTTATAACTGTAGTGAAGTGTCAAACACAGAGTTTTTATCACTGAGTTGTGGAATTGCACTCCTTTACTAATCCCCTACTTCTGCTAGCTGGGACAGCCTTCCCATCTATACTGGGTACGCAACAGTGCTCCTTTCTTCTTTCACTTTTCCTCAGTGCCAGTTAGGGTTAAAAGGCCCTCTCTGACTGTATGCCAACTTGTTCTACAGCAATCTGTCATGTTTGGAGTAGTCAGTAGGTCACACCAGCAGTGCTGTTTCTAGCTGAATTGCCAGAGTGCTATATGTTTAAAAAAGATGGGTCTGGATGTCCCAAAGAGAAAAACCACAGAAGCAAGTTTTTCTTTCTGTTCACCATTGCTCATTATAACTTTTCTTTCAGCTTATATCCGTTTTCATCTAATCTCACCACTGATCCAGCAGTCTGCTGAGAAGTAAGAGTGACTTCTTACTGTCTTTTCTTTCATTTGCTTTTATTTTTTGTGTAGAAAGCATTCTAAATTATCTTGAAGCATTTAACTGATGGATTCCATTTAGTTTGTAGGGGTGCCAGGGAAGGGTATCTGCTCCTTCAGAGTATCCTCCCCCATTATTATTACATTATTTCTGTATTAGATGTATACCCTGCCTTTCTTCCTCTTGTAAGGAACCCAAAGCATCTTACAAGGTGCTCCTCCTTTCCATTTTATCCTTACAACAACCCTGTGAGGCAGGTTAGGCTGAGAGTCTGTGACTGGCCCAAAGTCACTCAGTCAGCTTCATGGTCATGTGGTGACTAAAACTTGGATCTCCCAAGTCCCAGTCCAGTACTGTGACCACTACTGGCTTTCTTCCTATTATGTACATGTGGGATTATAGATGGTGGTAGTGGAATTCCAAATGCTGTGCTTTTTGATTGCACTGTAAAATAGAGGTGTATGCATCTTATCACCTAAAAGTATTATGACCTAGTACCATGTAATCTGTGGAATTATGGAATACAGTCTTTGTAAATTGGAATGAACTGTACCATTCCAGAGGGCTTTAGTATGAAGGAATTCAAATTCTTAGCTATGTTACCCTTCATCTCATATTACTGTGTCCAGTGTGGTGCTGTTCGATACGTTTGTGAACATCCTTGCGCACAACCTTGCTGAACCTGCTTATGAAGCAGATGTTGCTCAGTTGGAGTATAAGCTCGTAGCTGGAGAACATGGATTGATCATTCGTGTGAAAGGATTCAATCACAAACTGCCGGTAAGTGTTGGTAGGATTTTGAAGATGAGATTTCTTTTCAAAAAATAATCCAATTTGGTCTGTATCACCTCTTGAGAATCAGCATTTAATTTTCTATTGTAGCTGCTGTTTCAACTCATCATTGACCACTTAGCTGACTTCAGTTTTACTCCAGAGGTTTTTGAGATGATAACTGAGCAGTTGAAAAAGACTTATTTCAACATTCTCATCAAGCCAGAAACACTGGCCAAGTAAGTATCTGGAGTGCTTGAAACAATAAACAATTCTCACCTGAAGTAGCAGATTACAGTTAGAGGAGGCTTCTTTTTACTGGGGGAAGGAAAGATTCAGTTCTAAGCTGAGGGTCAGCTGGTTTCCTCTTCTTTTTCATCATATATAAGTGTTCTGGTTTGGTAAGGAATTGATTGAAGGAACAAGAAAGGAATGCTTTTCAGAAGGAGGTGAGTTCAGGACAAGGGTCCAGAAAACAGGGAAAATAAGTTTTGAGGGCATGCAGAATGCCAGTGTATACAAATTGCTGAATATAGAAATCTGCCCAGGTTCTTCCATTACTACTGTCCCTGGGGAATATTCCTGATAGTAAAAGTAACCTGCAGATGACCCTAAAAAAAGATATGAAAGCATTCAACCAAGCCAAGGTGCTATAAACACCCTCAAATTTGGGCACTATTTGGGTCTGAACACTTCCTTCCATGGTGGGAAAGTGACCAAAAAATGCCTCAAATTTCTGAGAACTCCTAACATCACAGAGTAGTATCATGAGTGACAAGGGCTAGTTGGCATTGCAAATCGTGAAAATGTGGAGAAAATTCCTCCCCACTAGTCTTGTTGTAGGGCAAATGGAGGTTAAGGGTGCTGTGACCCAAAATTCACTCCCCACCACCCAACAGTTAGAAAGACTTAGTCTCCCTTCACCTGCAGACTACTGTTTCGGAAGGGGTATTCCTCCAAATTTCAGCTCTCCATGCAAATCTGCTCGATCTCCACCCTGGTTGCTTTTATATAACAATCCTTGTTAGCTGAAAAATATGATAGATACCTTCTCCAAGATGATTTTGGTTTTTGAATTAAATAGGAGGAAAGGACCCAAGTGGTAAGATAAGAATGAAAGCAGTTGCACATATTTTTGGATTGGAGTTATTTATTTATTTAATACTTTTATATGCTTATAATATAATGGGATGTCGTTTATAGAAAGAGTTCTACAGGAAAACTATTTTTCAGTTGGCATCCATTCATCACTGTTTCTCCTCACCCACAGAGATATACGCCTCTTAATTTTGGAGCATGGGAGGTGGTCTATGACAGACAAATATGAGACATTGATGAAGGGTCTTGCTTTAGACTCTCTGCTTTTATTTGTGAAGGCTTTCAAGTCTCAACTATTTGCTGAGGGCCTTGTCCAAGGAAATTTCACAAGCAGTGTGAGTACGAACTTTCTGCAAGGTTTGCCTCTTAAGTACTGCCCCCCCCCCGCTTTTTTTTTACAAAGTCCCTCACCAAAGGCTCTTGAGCAAGCAAAGCAGTCACGGAATAAGAGGGGGTTTCCTTATATGGATTGCAAATTGGTTAAAGAACAGAAGACAGAAGGTGGGACTAAATAGCAGTTTCTCCTAATGGAGGGATCTAACCAGTAGAGTACCAGAGGGTTCTGTATGGGGACTGATGCTTTTCAACCTATTCATAAATTATTTGGAATCTGGAGTAAGTAGTGAATTGACCAAGTTTGCTGATGACACCAAACTATTAAGGATGGTTAAAATTAGAAGGAAGTGTGAGGAGCTCCAAAAGGATCCCTCTAAGCTGGGAGAATGGGCATCAAAATGGCAAATGCAGTTTGGTGTAAGCAAGTCTAAAATAATGCATGTTGGGGCAAACAATCCCAACTTCAAATATACAGTGAACTAGCGGTGACTGAGCAAGGAAGGGATCTTGGGGTAGTAGTGGACAGCTTGATGGAAATGTTGGCCCATTGCACAGCTACCGTGAAAAAGGCAAACTCCATACTAGGCATAGTTAGGAACAGAATAAAAAAGAGAACTGCCAAGATTGTACTCCCCTTATACTGTACTGCAACCACACTTAGAATATTGTGTTCAGTTCTGGTTGCTTTACCTGAAAAAGGACATTATTGAGTTGGAAAAAAGTACAAAGAAGGACAACGAAAAAGATTAGGGGGCTGGAGCGGACCCCCCAAGAGGAGCAGCCACAACAACTGGGATTGTTTAACTTAGGAAAACGGTGAGCAAGGGGAGACATGATAGAGGTGTTTAAAATAATGCATGGTATAGAGAAAGTGGAGAGGGAGACATGAGAATGGCTGTGTGCTACATCCTTGCAAGAGGTGGCATGCCTGCATACACCAGTTCCTGAGATGCTTGGGCAGGTGGAGGTCTCGCATCCATAATGCTTGAGTGATCCTGTGGGCAGCTAGTTTGCCACTGTGTTCACTGAGTGCTAGATGGACCTTGGATTGATCCAGCATGGCTTTTCTTACCTTCTTTTGTTCTTATGAGAAATACCTGTAATTTGCCTTGCTGAGCATAGGTGGCTCCATAATATAGACGCTGGTGATTCTGACCAGCTGGTGATTCTGTTGTCTGTGTCTGTTTACAGCTGCTTTAGTACCAAGCCATGCAAGAAAGAGCCCATTTATAGGCTTTTGTCAATAAATCCACCCACACAACTGTAAGTGAGCTATTGTGCAGTCGCAAGAGAAGAACATTTTTGTGTGGAAGCAATCCATGTGCTGGAGAGTCAAATTGCAGCTCTTCTTCTGTTTATGCCATAGTATCGCTTGCCATGTCATTGTTCCATAAGATTAGATCAAGACTGAGCAAATTGTAGCCCTCAAGATGGTTGATCCCATTCCTTCCATCATCTCTGACTGCCGGCTGACTAGGGCTAATGGGAAGGGAACATATAGAAGAGGCACAGGGGAAAGTTTCCTATGTGAGTGAGGGCTTCTTAGTGGTAATCACAGGTAGAGACTAATGACTCAGCATGGCCACTGCAGAGCCAAATTACTCTTAGTTGTTGCCATGCACTAACTTGTCTCACATTTCTTCTTTCTCTTTCACACATTTTCCCTTTCATGTTCTGGGGAAGATTGTTTAAGAACTGGAATCCATGTAGGTTTACAAAAAGACAGCAGCAGCACGGCTTGTGCCCACTCACAAAACCCTTGGGGTGGCAATGTAATTATTGTTCATTAAGAGTGGCCATTGGGTTGTCCCTTGGTTTCCAGGTTTGGAGGCAAAACCTTTTTTCAGGGCGAAATCTATCATTAATAGACTCCTCTATGACCGATGCAGAGGAATGTGGAAACGAATTTATGATTCTAGTTTCATGGTGAGCATATAATTTCAGGACTGTAGGTCATTCTGCAGAGAGGGGAATTTATGTGCTGCAAGTTCTTTCAATCTAGTTTATTTCCTCAGTGCTGAGAGTACTGTGGCCAAAGGCTGTTTTTATAATCTCAAGTTGACATTGTGTGCATGCATTTAGGGATAAAAATGTTCCCTATTTTCTCTTAGGAATCAAAAGAATTTCTGGATTACGTTGTTGAGTGAGTATATTTACCATAATATTGGTGCTATTGTATAAAGCAGGAGTGGATAACTTTTGTGGCCCTCCAAAAGTTTTGGCTTGTAACTCCCATCAGGCCAAGCTGGCATAGCTAATGGTGAAGGATAGTGGAAGTTGTAAGCCAAAATATCTGGAGCCCCCAACTTGACCAGCTCTAATAGAAAGACAAATGCTATTGCCAAAACTTAAAATTAGAGGTGATACTACTAAAAACTAAGGCTGCAACTCAGTTTCAATTAAGTTAAATTGATTAAACATGTGACTTCTAGTCACTGACTGATTAAAATTTGTGCATAGATTAAAAAAAACATTCCTGAAGCTGGAAATGTATTGTGTTGGGTGTAGCAGATATTACCCCAGAGCAATCTTCCCCAACCTGGTGCTCCCCAAATGTGTTGGACTGCAACTCTCATCATTTCCAGCTGCCATGATCATGCTGCTTAGCACATGAAGTCCAACAAATCTTGAGGGCTCCTAGGTGGGAAAGGCTGGGGGCCTCCAGTGTGAGAGGAATTATATCTATTCTAAGATAGCATATGCAAATCTGCCATATTAATCAGATCTTGTAAGAGTTTATAACTGATTAATCTAACCAATTAATTGATCAAACATTGCAGGCTTACTAAACTTACTCTTTCTAAAATGAAGTTTTCTTCTTTCATATCATGGGGTCTTCATTCTTACTTATTAGGCAAGGTGTTTAGTCTTTTTCTAAAAATACAGTATTGAACCTACTGAATATTTATAGTATCTGAATATCTAAATAAGTGGTGGGCAGGCTGCAGACTTGCAAGATCTATTTTGTTTTTACTGGAACCCCAAGATCCATCAATCAGAGTTTGATGCAGAAAACATAAACATGCCGAACCTAGAAATTTGGGCACCAAATCTGAATGGGGGTCACAGTCCTTCCACCCAAGAGATCCAAGCTTCCATTAAGCAGTATAGCTTATTGTAGTTGGAAGGGTAGAAAGAGTCATGACACTAGTGCAATGACACTAGTGCAGAAGAGTTTGCTAATACTTTGATGTTTGGACTCTTTTCAGAAAATTGCAGTTCCTTCCTCTAGTACATCCATGTCCAGTTCAGTTCCGGGTGATGGACTTGCCAAATGCCCATCTGCTGTGCAAAGTGAAAACCCTTAACAAAGGCGATGCAAATTCTGAAGTGACAGTCTACTATCAGGTGCTGTGATATAAAGAGTGGGTGTACTGATTTCTTCATTGTGTGTGTTTCCCATAATTAGTGGCCCCGTTATAATAGGCACTTGCTGCATAAACGCAATGGCCATCTGGGAGCAAAAGGAAGGTTCTTATATATGTAAGTGTTGTAACATGGGAGAAGGCATAGATTTGTGACCTGTTTCTTTGCTTGGTATAGTCAGGCTACTCCACCCCACTCCTGATTTCCCCACACTTTATGATTTGTATAGCTGCTTTAAGAATTCTGGCATTATTCATACTTAGATCTCTAAATTGGTTTGCATTTTGTTCTTTTAAAATAGGCCTTCAGATACAATATTGTACAACAGGGAGAGGTTAGATTTAATCTTCTGACGGGGGAAATCCATTTTCTATGTGAAGGCATTTATTTTTCCTGTGGTGGAACATTCAGACATGCATCTGAAGTGGTATTGGCCAAAAAAAAAAAAAAAGCTTTTACCACTTGATCTTACAGTATGTAGAAACTGTCATTAAACTCTCCCCAGGAACACTTTATGACTCTTGTAAAAGCAGAAGCCAAATCATTGTTTTGAAGTATCATTGGCTTTAGGATATTTGCTACAAAATAGCCATCTTCCTTAGAATGAGAAAGATTACTGTTAAATAGCCATTTAAAAAATGTACCATGTGATGGGTTTAATCAAGAAAAAGGAATCTGCAGTTTCTAGCTACACCAGCCTCCTCTACACTGAAGTTCTTTAGGCTTCAGCACCTGTCTTTCCTCACCACTGGCCAGTTTTCCAGGGCTGCCAAGTGTTGAAGTCTAAAACATTTGGAGGGAACTATGTTAAGAAGGCTGAGTTACAACTGTAAGGAACATTGTTATTTTCCTGCAGCTGCTCAGAAATCTAGGGATACTGTGGAGGGGCCCTGGTGTCCCTCTGGCCACGTATTTTGGCATTAATGCCTTCCTTTTCACACCTCAGAGCTGTTTCAGGGAGGAGGTAACACATGATTTACAGGGCAGCTAAGAGCTAATGAGTCTTCCTTGTGTTGTGTTCCAGGTTGCATCCTTTCCCCTCCCATTCCATGTGTCCTAGATTTTAGGTTCAGGTGGGATGGAAAGCCAATGCAGGCAGTCTCAAACTGCTTATGAACTGCCACAAAGCCTATTCATTTTTTAAAATTACTGCAGAAAAGCATCATCACCATAGAGAGAGAGGAAGTGAAAGGGGAGCGTGGGAAGCCTCCAAAGCAGGCCTTCTTACTCCACCTATCTGGAGAGGGAAATCTCTCTGGCATTTCCTTGTTGCAGAGAGAAGGCACTGGTGAGTTTGGGTGTGGGCAGGGGCTACAGAAATTTGTGTGTTTTTTCCATTTCAAGAGGGCCCTATGATCCTAACTCCACAAATGTAGAGGGACAACTATCCATGATCTAGCTTAGATACAAGTTCGACTTATAAATTTCCATTTTCTCAGGAATGGAACTTGTTCATAACCTGGGGACTGCCTGTAATGCATTTGGCATTTAGATAACTTCAATCTCTTCCCTCTTGGGAAATAAGTGGCAACAGAATTTTGAAAACCAAACAAATAAAATTGGTTTTATAAATAAAATTTTGGTTTCTTCCCCAACCCCGCCCTTTTATTTTAGTCTGGAGCCAGGAGTTTAAGAGAATACTCTCTCATGGAATTGCTTGTGGTAAGTTTGGATTGGTTCCTAGATAGACCACTTTCTTAATCTCTGGCCTGGTTATGTAATGGTAAACAGTAGAATTTTGGTAACCTGTATTCTGGTGTACTGTGTGAAGGATGCCTCATGGAAGATGATATTATGTGGGTTTGTATTGAAATGGTATTGGGGTAGTAGATGGAAAATCTGTAGAGGTGTACAGGGGCAGGAAAGTGCAATATAGTAACTGGTAGTCATGCGAGGAACACAGATCAGTTTAACTTTTGAAACTGTCTTGCAGGACTTGGCATAATCAGTTTATTGCAAAGAAGAATGTGCATGTTTTCAACATGCCTTAAAAGTTGTGCGTGTTATGAAGTTTCCACATGCTCTCCACATTTAAACTGCAGGTTTTGGAAAATGCTGTTTGCCACCAAATAATGCGTTCATTATTGCTGCATAAAGGGTGGTTGTGCATCTCAAGGATTGTGTGGGGGCAGCAAAACAATTGTCCCCTGTAGTTATTTCCCACCCATTCCCACTCCTCAACTGATCTGTCACATGCAGGTGGGGTATGGGATGCAGGGCCACTGCAATTGAAGGGACATGTGACACAGTTCTACAAAGGTTATCATGCAATTGAAGTGCTTGATGTAGACAGATTTTAATAAATGGTCCCTGATTCTTCACTTGAGATTTCAGCCAGTCCCAATGACTGCTTTTCTGTAGGAGTACTTTCTTAGAGAGTAGTAGTTGTTATCCTGCAGCATCAACATTTGGAATGTGTGCAACTCTTCCTGTATATTGCTGTATTTTATGGAGAGGTTTTAAGGAAGCTTTTTCTAGCCATTTAAAATGTGTCTTCCAGGCTGGATATAAGTGATGTGATGCAACATTACTTGATATTTGAAAATACCTGCTTTGAACCTTTGGGGATGCAGAAAGTTAAATATTGTTTCGCCACTCCCTTTCCATAAAACACTTTCGTTGACTGAAATACTACTTAATTTTAGATGTACATGGAGGAGCCTTGTTTTGACTTTCTGCGAACCAAGCAAACCCTGGGGTAAGTTTCCATTCAGCTGCATAATTGGAAGCAATAAAAGCTCTCTACTGTGTTAGCATGGAAACTCTCTATTGCTAGGTAGCAAATTATATAATACAGTGGGGTGCCATGATTGAAACTGCCAGCAGTACTCTATTTAAAGCAGAAGGGGCTTCCATTAGTGTAAGAAGGAGTCATTGACATTTGCTCATCTCACATTGCTTCATACCCCACATCATTGCCAAGATCTCCAAGCCGTCAGAAGCTCACAGTAATTAAAATCCTAGTGAAAACATTTCAGCAATATCCTAATTTGGATTAATCCAGCAAAATTGCCAGAACATTTTCTATAGTAAAAATGCATGAAAGCACCCAACAGTAAGAATTTTTGGTAACCTTTCTAGGCAAGAATGGTCAGCTGGCACATCAATATCAGTGAGGCATGAAGATGTGAATCTTAAGTTGGTATTCTTAGCTCACAATTATAGTAGAATCCACATCAAAATGGCTCATTATTACTTCACATTCCTAAGATGAAATTGAACCATGTTCATATGGTGATCTCTCTCTTCCTCACCCACAATCCTTTTCATTTCATGTGTACCCAATTTTCAGATATCACGTGTACCCAACTTGCAGAAATACATCTGGGATTCTTGGCTTCTCAGTCACTGTAGCAACACAGGCAACCAAATACAAGTAAGTGCTGGATTTTTTCTACTACGTTTCAATGCTTGTATCATACCCTGTAAACTCAGTGGTTCTTCAGACTTGCTATTTTAGATACATTATTCTCAAAATTGGATTATATGAATTCTAGTCCAAAATCCCCCACTGCATCCATCACTCCAAACTGTACATTTTCAGAGAGGTGTGCAGCCTGCTCCTCAGGCATCAAAGAGTAAAGCAGTTTCTTACTTTGTCCAGCTTTTGTGCTCTGTAGCTGCCTTTACCCACTAATCCACTTGCTACCTCTGCTGTAGCCACTACCAGCCAAAACATGGGTTTGCAACCTCTTGGGGCCCATTTGGCTTCTTTTTTTTTTGGATGTCACGACAAAGTGACTCTTATACTGGGGATGGGAGGCTAACTGCTAGAACTGCCCTCATCTATGTTTGGGCTACCTACTCTGACATCTGTGCCTAGCTCTTCTGTCTCTGGTTCCCCTGGCCTTCCTTTTGTCTCTCCTTTCTCTTGCTCTCTGGCTTTTTTGTTCCCCTCCTTCTGGGGCTCTATCTCTTTTTTCTTGTCCCATCCTCACTGGCCCTTGTTTCTTTTTTCCCCTATCTCCTTCTCCTCTTTTAGCTCCTTTCTCGCTTTTACATTTCGGTCGCTCTTTCCCCCTGGTCCCCCTTTTCTTTCCCTTTCCCCATCTCTATATACATGAATGGAGTAATTTCTCAGTTATTTACATTGGGTGAGAAATAGCCTTCTATTGAAAAGTGTCTGGAGAGAGAGAGCGAAGTCTGTTATTCCATGGGTCCTTGGTGTGGTGGGATGATGATGCCATTACCCTCCAGCCAGTTCATGGGCTTTGTTGGTCCTTTATAATCCAATCAGTTGTTTCATTGGAAATGAAATGAATGGATCGATTCTATAAATGAAGCTACAGCCTTGAGTTTACAAGAACTGAGCAGGGCTGTCAAGGATAGGACATTTTGGAAGGCATTCATTGATAGGGTCACTATAAATTGGAGATTACTTGGCAGCCCACTACAAGAGCGATCCAGTTACTCCATTGGCTTGTATTGGGAATGAAGCCCAACTGCAGGAAAGCACCTGTGGTAGGAGCACTCATTGTGCTCACACTCAGCCATTTCTTGGCAAGAAAAGATTTTTCTCTCCCTTCTGTACAAGGGAATGGAAGAATCACTCCATTCACATGGGGGAGGGGGGGAGTAGCTTGGGGAGGCCCATTGGGACCCTGAGGCAGAGGATTCTTAATAAATAGGATGCTAAAGAAAAGTTGAAACCACAAAAAGATAATGTTAGTGATTTAACATTGAGTAAATACATTTACCTGATTTCAAATACTGGGTGAAGAGAATGTTGGATGTGATGAATGACTTAAGTCCCACTGGGCAGGCATCATAATATTCTTTGTCTTGGAGGCAGAAGTCCCTGCTTTTTGCTGACATAGTAATTTTAACATTTGAATTAATACACATTCAAAGTTAATCTTTTATTTTTTGATATATACTTTGGGAAGATTAAAGAGAAGGCTCCTTTCTCAAAAGACATTTGTTGATTTTAATAGCTAGCTTGATAGATTTTGTTATCTTTATATTTTATTGTTTGAATGAATTTTGTGTATCACCCTATAATTTAATAATGAAGGGCAGCATATAAATATTTTATATAAAAGCAGGATTATACTTTAGACAAAGTTCTATTTTGCTAGACTGAAGCTTTAGAAAATTGTACCCAGAAAGAATACATCTTTGAATGTAATTTCTTTCTTCCTTCAGCTCGGAACTAGTGGATAGAAAGATAGAAGAATTTCTTTCATGTTTTGATGAAAAAGTCAAACATATGACTGAAGAGGCCTTCAAGACACAGGTACCGATGTTAAAGGGCTGTTCTGGTTTTCTAGAAATCTTTTCCAATAAAATTTTGATCATCCATGCATGTGCCAGTAGTAATTTCATGTTTCTTTTATTCAATTTGAGATCAGGAGCTTCAGTAGAGACTAAGATGGTAAAGAAGGGCAAATTTTGCATCAGAATCCTAAAGAAGTCAATATGCCTTGAGATTTTCCCTTCTGTTTAGTGCTGAAGTAGACCTGCCAATCTTTGTATTAAACACACAATATGTGAAATTGGGTTTGAATCTATAGAATCTTGCTCTAGGCCATCTCAAATTCTAGTATTTCTGCTAGTATGTCTACCTGACATAAACCCTGAACCTTGTACTATGCTATTATATTATATCTCCACTTTCTGGTTCTATTAGGGAAGTCAGTCTTTCATGACACATCAGTTTTTCAATGTCTATAATGTCCACATGTGAAGATTGTCATTCTTTACACATGTTGTTGGAAATAGCATAATGTGGGATATTTTATTTCATTGTTCCTCATGGCTTTAGTTACTTAGAATATTTATATGATGTTTTTAAACTGAAAAATATTTAAAATTCAGTGGTGAATTACAAGAATAGCAAAATATTACAGCAGTGAGATGACTTAATCCTTTTTCTAGAAACAGCAAACGTACTGTGACGGTGTGGCTTTTTTTTCTGTCTCAGGTCACAGCTCTTATTAAATTAAAAGAATGTGAAGATTCCCATCTGGGTGAGGAGGTGGACAGGAACTGGACAGAAGTGGTGACTCAACAATATCTGTTTGACAGGCTAGTAAGGGAGGTATGTTTTCTCTCTCTTGTTCCTTTATCCTGGGACTTTTGTTTGTAGTGCTTAGGGGTTTATCTTTGATACTTAGAAAGCTATCTAGTGCTTAACAGGCTTGGAGTCATGGTCTGTAAGAGTCACGGAACTGAGTGCCAGGTGGGACTCTGCACTGAGGGGATGAGTGAACTGGTAGTCCAATTCAAGGAAAAGGATGCACTGCAACCTTCTGCCACCAGTCCTACTTTGCTTGATTTCTGAGTAGATGTAACTGTTCATGCACCAAAAGGCAGAAGCTCCTCTATATTATAAGGATATAAGGAAAATAGCTCAGGCTCTGGGCCAGTTCCCATACTACTAATATCCATGTTAAAAAATGGTTGTTACATGGTTGTTATCCTCCATTCTCTTAGATTGAAGCTCTCAAATCCCTTTCTCAGTCCGAACTAGCTGACTGGTTTCAAGTGCACAGAGGTAAAGAAAGGAAAGTGCTTAGTGTACATGTGAGTATCCATGGCAAATATTTTATTTAAAGGAGTATTTCCTTAAAATGAAGTGTGTTTAGGCTCAGGATCTGAACACTTTATTTATCATGATACGCCATTAGAGAAAACCTGGGGGAAAGCTTTGCTACTTCAGATATCTGATTTGCTTGATGCAGTTGTGGCTCAATGTGGGTGCAGGGCAGATTGCCAAGGCATTGACTTATTATTTAATAATACCAGCAAGAAAGCTTGGGAAATCAGGCTGGGAAAATCCTGCCGGTGTGGATTTGCACTTGTATGCACAGATCAGCCTAATTTATGACCCGGAATAGAAAATTGGCTCCCTCTATTTCAGTTTTCTGGACCTAGCTCTGCTTAGTAGCTCTAGAAGTTCTAATTACAAAGAAGGGGCAATATCCGATGCTATCACAGTGCTTCCCTTAAATAGGCTGCAGTACTGTCAACCCATACTAGCACGCCATTGTTAGACAAACAAGTCGCGACTTCCTGCTGAAATTCAGTTGTAAATTCCTCCTTTCTCCCCTTTGCTAGCACATGCTATTGGCAATCGAGTTACACTAGCACAGCTGTCCCAGCTAGGTGCCTTCCTAGAATTGAGATTACAGCTCCTAGAAGTCCTAATCATGCTGGCTGGGCCTGATGGGGGTTGGAAGTCCAAAACATCTAGAAGGCACCCAAGTTGGGGGAAGTCTGCACTGGAGCTATGAGAGCACTGGCTACTACCCACACATCATTCAAGTGTGACATCTACCCATGCCTGGTTTGGGTTAAGAAAATAGGCTACTTAAAGGTAGTTAATACTTGTTGACATTATGAATTATTTACCACTTAGTAACTTGTATATTTTTCACACTGCAGGTGGTTGGATTTGGAATACATGAAGGTGATTTAGAAAGTTCCTCTCTCACAAATGTTCATAGCCCCTCATGCAATGAAATACCTCAGCTAATGTTCCTGGACCCTACTTCTTTGACAGATGCCATTTGTATCAAGGACATCAAAGTGTATACATCATCTCTCAATGTTCTCCCATACCATAAGATATTAAAATAACACATCTCAGACTGCAGTAAAGTGTAGTACAACTTAACTACTGACCACTGGGATATTTGCTCTCCTACAAAGAATCCAGTCTACCATACTCTCTGGAAAATATGTAATTGAATATCCTCTGCAATCTAATCTGCTACAAACATGTCTTTGAAGGGAATGGTATACATAACAAGTGTTACTGGTGAAAATGCATAATATAGCTGGCAGTGGATATAGGAAGACTGAAAGCATATATAACAAAAGGGTTGTACCAGCTGACTATCTAATGTAGTAAGTCCTTTTGCTTGAAATGCTACTTGACTTAGCAAAAGAGTGAGGACTGTACTGGGTAGGTATGCAACTCCAGTTCCTCAACTCAGTTATGTTACTTTAGGGACAGAAATGTGTGCTATCCAATGAATTCTATTAGACTACTTAAAATGGATGAACTGCCTGTGTGAAACAACTGAGAGCAAAAACACTGCTGGTTTTGGGTGAGGGAGAGACAACAGTTCAGGATGAGTGCTGAGATGACATGTGCAATAAATTAATTACTTGGATGATAAGTTCTGTTTTTTTATGTTACAGGTGGGCATAAAATAAGGGTTCCCGAAGTCTATCATGAAATCAGCTTAATTGCTTTCTGAAACTAGCCCTTGCATATATGGGCAACCTGATGAACAATACAGGCTTAGAAGGCAGAATAATCAACCCATTCTGATGCAGGGGCTCTATGTCACTCATCCTTGATCTAGTTAATCTCAACTGCCTAAAAACACATTTCAAGCAG